TTACAGCTTATGCAAACCCCAAATTCAAAATCTCAGAAAATCTGAATATTGTGAAAAGGTTCAATGGTCTAGACTCAAAGTGTCACACTCTAATCTAATCCAAACACCTGCAAAGTCGAATTACTGGCATAAATGGACTTTTGCACCATGTTGTCATTTTTTTAAAGTTTCACCTGTAGATCTCAATATTATTGTAGAAACTACAGTAAACAAGCGTTTCACAGCTTAGGCGGCTACAGTTCAGTTTAACACAAATACCTTTTGAGTCCTGCAACCTAACATTTTCCGTTTTCAACATTTCCACTCAATGCAGACTCCTCTCCTCATCTTTAGGAATTCCTGAGGCTCCACCTGTGCAGCCCTGAAAAATCGATGGGTATCGAGCTCTGAAAGAAGAGGGAAAAAAGGCCTATCTGCTTGTTTTCATTTCCTAAAAAGTTGACATTTCACAGATACGCTGCTTCATCAGACTCTGTCAGTTTGCAAATCGCACGTCATGACATCGAGCGCCCGTGGCAGCCACCGGCATGTGAGCTGGTATGACTCACCTCTCTCCACCTCCCGGTGAAGCACGCTGACACACGGGCCAACACAAACAGCCAGGGAGAGCACACTGATGCGGGTCGCCCGTATCTAAGAGGAGCCTGTGTGCTTTCCTGAAAATAACATGTTGGCTTTTGAAGCAGCTGCACAGGGCACACGCTGTGCGGCACCATGGTGAACGGACAAACGTGTAAAAAGGAGCTTTCTGCTGCTTTAATGTGTGACTGCGGTCGGCCAGCCAACCAGAGCTGATGGTGTGTGGTAGGCGAGCGGTGGGGACCGAAACTAACTGTGAATGCACGCAGACACGAGAGGGAAGAGGGGCGAGGGGGCTGCAGGAGGGAGAAAAAACACGCCTGAGTGTTGTGCAGAAGCTGCAAACACATTGGTCCTAAGAAGCAACCCCCTCCTGGTTGCGTTAAAGGGATGTCTGTATTGGAACTATATTTATGTGTGCACGAGTCAAACGCCACCCGGCTTAAAAACCGCTGCGATGCCAGCGAGGAATTTAACAGAAAACAAACGCTTTCGTGAGGGAGATCCGTTGGTGTGATGAGACACAAAAGGGAGGAAAACAAAAAAATAAAACTGTCCATTTTGAAATGTTTTCTATCAAATGAATCCATTCGAAAAAGTCAAGCATCTTTCTTACCTCTGCAGCCGTTTGGTCCTTTTGAATAAAAACAAAACTAGTAAGGAGGAAACTTCCACTTCCAGCTCCAGGATTCCCTCTTTTTTAGGTTTTCATATTTCACATGCACACTTAGTTCTATCGGTCGAACTAAAACCCAACAACTGTCTAAGATACGAAGGTCTGAGTAAATATAACGTGATGAAAAGTGACCGGTGGAAGGACGGTAGAGCGCTAGGAGGCAGGCAGACGGGATGAAACAGGAGAGCAGACTGAGTGGGATGCAAGAGCTATTCTTCCTAACATCGGAGCGTCTGTGTTGGATACACCCACCTCCTCAGCATGCATCAAATAGGAGCCTTTTCTAAAGTATGCAGACACAGAGAATTCCTGCGTGCAGCACGAGATCCAAGCTGACCTGGGATTGTGTGCATGTGAAGCTGCAACACTCAATAACTATTTTTTTGAGAGGATTTTTTGGGGGGGCACGTTAACATCCTGATGCACTAAAACTGCTCTCACAGCTGAGCCAATCTGCTGGGGCTTTTTAAAAAATAAAAATAAAGAAAAGATCAACAGTAAAGGCTTTCCTTTTGCCTTTAACGGCTCCTAATGAGTTGAATTTGGTGCTTGTGGTGTGCCCTCGTACAGCTAAAGCGCTGCTGTGATTATTCCAGCAGTCGTCACCCTCGAGGGATGCCCCACAGGTCAGAGGAGGAAACACGACACTCCGGCTAAACTGTTATAATTGGTTTGTGTTTTCGTTTGTAATTAATTCTGCAACTGAAACCAGAAGAGGGAAAGAAATCGCTTAAAAAACTGAATGAATTTCAGGTAGTATGTTTATGCTGAGGCTATAAATCTGATGCTATTCTCTTTAACCCCAGATTAAATGTGTTTTAATCTTCATCAGACGGAGCAAATTGACTTAGAGCTGATGTAAAACAATAGTTTCTGTCCTAGTTCCATGTCTTCGCTATTAGATTAGCATATCGATACGTAGGAGGATAAATTGATGTTAATAAATAGCTGCTGCATCTGCGTCTAAAGGATTTTCTGCTGAGAGGTGAAGACTTCAAGACATGCCTCTCATTCCTGGAGCGCACGACTGCCCGTCACTCAACATGCCTTCACATTCCCATCTCCTCCTGGCAGTGTTGGAGGATGGAGCCTCCACACTATCCACCTCCATCTCTCCAGCCATGAGAGGTTTCTGCCTCCTGGGACACAAAATCCGCTTTAATAAATAGCTTAAATCTCACTGTGTTGGCCAATTTGTTGAGTAACCACATTTATTCTTGAATCAATATGTTCGCCCCAAACAGAGGTCCTGTGAAAAGTTTAGAGGTGCATTGAAAGGGGATGTGTATATAACTATGTTGCCATCATGGATCAAAGTGATCTTGTTCTGTGTTTCATTTAATGAAACTGTCAATCAGAAACAAGGGTTTTATTGTCTACTGAGAGCCCAGGACATGGATGACAAAGCCTTTGGGAAAATGTTGGTATTAGGAGGTGATGAGAGATGGAGGAATGTGGTTTGTTGTGCTCTTCTAGGTTAGAATACGAATGGAACAAAAACAAAACACTGCCCCATCAGTTCTGTTTTTGTGATGAGGATGTATTATGCAAAACTCACCTTTTGCATCTTTGTGTGCTGCCATATTGGGCTGTACTGCCTCTATAAACACTCCAAACATGAAAAAAAAACCTTTCATCCATTTTCTGGCAGTGTTTGAATTTAGGAAATATGTGCCTGAAACAAGCTGTGTCAAAAACTGTGACATTTGTGACATCACAGATGGGGAAATAACAATAGGACCACCTCCCATGTGCAGGAGAGAGCTGCTGGAGGAGCAGCCGCTCTACTCCAGGCCCTCCCAGATATCGCAGCTTCTCAGCTTACAACAGCCAATCAGTAGAGGGGTGGGCGTGGTCAGCTCCAGCTTGTTTTCTGTCCTGAAACGGCTCATTCTGGAAGGTACTTAAACTGTCAGGAATAAAACTGTGTTGTGTGCAAGTGATTTTGCGATAAGAGCTTCATACATACATTTTGTTTCGATCATAGGACAATTATAAATTAAGAAATACATTTACAATAAGTCCCTTTTAATTCTTAATCCCATTTGGTATTATATTTCATAAAACGAATGTTAAATATCCTTTTTGTATTTTGGGGGGGCGATGGAGGGTAAACCTACTATTTCAATCCCTCACTTTATGCACTGAATTGCCTCCATGCATGAAATGTGCTACATAAATAAAGCTGCCTTGCCTAAACCTGGAGAGTGAAGAGATAACCCCTTATGGAGCACCAGACTGGGGAATGTGATCACAGTTACACTCTGTCCCACAGGAAGTCTTGTACCCCTAAACTATTACCATCCATTACTGCGTCCTGCTGCTGCAACAACACCTGATTATCAAGGCAGAGAATCTGAGTGCTTTCCAACAGCTCAGGCACAGGAGCTGCTCATCTCATCTCGATGCATCTTTGCTGCTGACCAAGCAGTCACTCTGCAGCAGCAGCACTCACGGATCGCCCAGCGAACACACCATCATATGACAAATGCTCACACGGAATAAACCCAACGACGCACCTGGCGTTTGTCGTTTTCGTGCGGCATTCAGGTGCTGCGACACTCCCCTTATCGTACAAACGCACGCCTGCCACAACACTGAGTAGCGTTTTATAACATCAACACAGTGCAATTGGTTTTATGATGAAACGGGGATTAAACAGGGGGCTCTGGTTGCGATTCAACCCAAGAGAAGTAATTGTATGCATTTATGCATAGGTAGAGGGGAATATAAATAGCATCTTACCGTTAAAATCATGAAGAGGGAGCCTTCTGACTGTCAGATGAGAAGCTGATCTAGTGTAGATGGTGATGATGATGATGCTGGGCAGCCCGATCTCCGATTCCCTGGATTATTTCGCTCCCTGTTGGTGATCAGATGTAACAGCAGTTTAACGGGGAGATCTGTTTTATTTCACAGTGCATTAAATGGTTTATCATATTTACAATGTATGGGAAAATGTATGTTTTATCTAAATGTTAAATTAGTTTTGGTTCTGCAAGGGACCAATTGATTTGGATAGGGAAATATGAATTTCCGCTTATATTTTTTTCAAAATAACAGTCACAAAAAGAAGATTTCAGTAGTAAAATAAATAAATAAATAAATATGAAGAGAGAGAGAGAGAGAGAGAGAGAGAGAGAGAGAGAGAGAGAGAGAGAGAGAGAGACCCCAAAGATTAATGTTTAATAAATCACTACCATTTGATGAAATATGCTAAATTAAACAACTAAAAATCTGGTATTTGTATTTATCATAATTAAGTCACACGCAAAAAACAAATGACACAAATGAACCCATGGTAAATGTGCCAGTTCAATTGTTTTCAAACGTCTTCGTTTACACTTTGATATGAAATTACATTTTCAGAAATACGATATTTTAACGTGTTAAACGTTTTAAACTATTAAGGTCCGGAAGAACATTGGCCTGGCCAAGAGATGATGATAATGTCTGTGTACTGTACTTTTTTGTTATCATGAAAATTTTGCCTGGCCTAAGCTGTTCGCAGCCAGATCCTGCCTGCCCCTTTCTAAAACTACAATATGGCGTCTTTGACAAGCAGGCTTTTTTGGAGGTGGCTTAATTTATGCCTGCTGTATAAAATGCCAATATATCTTTTCATGTCTTTTTAAACAAGTCTGTTCAAATTAAATGTTTTTATAATAGTCTATCATGTATTTTTAAGCCGTATTTTTGCTAAATTTTGACAGATATTTTCTAAATGAAGGAAGGGCTTCACCGGCAGAGTAACGGCTAGTGGGTTCTTTAGCAGGAAAAAGCGCCAACTTCTCCACCGCCGTCCGATTAGTCAAAACGGTTCAAAAGACGGGACATTTGGGATAATTTATCACATGTAAAATCGGAATGAATCTTTTAGGTAAGAATTAAAACGGTCAGCTCGCTATTTTAATTAAGACTGCTCGTTTGCTTGTAGAGGCAGCGTGCTGCCTGTTTACTCCTCCCACTTCTTCACAACACCTCAATGCCGACCTAGTTTCGTTACTGTGTGTTGTGAAAATAGCTGAAAACCTATTTTAACTGCGTGCTAGTTTCATGTTAGCATTTCCCAAATAGTACAATACAACGGCTCCACACTAGTTGAGGAGGTGTGGTGTCGCCATGCTTAAATCGTTAAGTCAGCTGAAGCCAGCTGGTGTGTTTATAAAATTCTTTGTTTAGTCGGTAATTGGGTGTAGTTTGTTGAACTAGAACAAACAACACTGCTATTCTCAAGCCAATTTGCTTATAACTAGAACCCAAACTTGAGTGCGTAGGTTACGTTCGTTCGTGTGGAACTCTGATGGCGCCCATCGAAATTGGATGTTGCCGTTTTTATTTTGGCCAGTAGGGTGCTGTTGCGTCTTGGTTGAAAAATTAAAGGTACCTTAGAAAACATGTCAAATCTGCAAGGTGAGAGTGCTGGGCCGGCACATGGGAGTCCGGTGAAAAAGAGTAGACTGTCTCTGAAGTTTTTCCAGAAGAAAGAAGCCAAGCGAGCTCTGGATTTCTCTGAACCTCCTGCAGAGGAACCCAAAACAACCGAACCAGAGGGAAGGTAGGAAGTTCCTGATGATTGGTTGATAACTGATCACTAAAACTTCAAATTGAGCACTAACACTACCCGTAACACTTGTATCTATGTTTTATTTTCAACACGTGATTCTTGTGAAGCCCTCGTGAGTTTTTCTTTTTCCTGTTTTCGCCCTTCAGCACCTGTGAACAGGTGGTCTATGGTCCCTCTCCTTATCAAGCATCACCTGGTCTTCCAGCCTCATGTGAGAAGAAAGATAACTTGATTCCTTTCGTGGGTCTCAATAACCTGGGCAACACCTGCTATTTAAATAGTATTTTACAGGTTAGTATTTAAATGAAACTGCAAACTAATAACTAATACCAATTTTGTTAAACTTGTGAAATGTGACAATTCAAAAATGATCTTAAATTGGGAAAAATCATATTTTCTTCATTTGACGTGTTGGCTTGTATTCATAGACTTTATTTTACATGTATGGTGCAATTGCAATTTACTTTTGCAAACTTCTTTGCTGTGATAAAGTCAGTTAAGATCTAATAACTAAAACAGGGATGAGACTTAATTCAACAACAACTTTGAATGAACTTTGCAACTTGTAGAAAATAAAGAAAGCAAGGCACTGAACTTAAAGAGCAAGTCACCCCCCCTACAAGAAACTTACTGTACTCCAGGGCTATTCAGTTCTGGGCCTGGAGAGCTGGTTTCCAGCACATTTTAGTTTTAGCTCTGCTTCAACACACCTGATTTCAATCAGCAGGTGATTAACGAGCTTTTGCAGAGCTTGATGAGCTGCTGCACAGGTGATTCAACCACAGAATCTGGTGTTTCGGAGCAGAAAAACCACTAAAACGTGCTGCATACCAGCCCTCCAGGACCAGGATTGAATAGCCCTGCTCTGCTCCCACTTCATGTTTGAAAACTGCAACAAATGCTGTTGCCTGGCAGACCAAGAGGGTGGAGCCGCTAACAATTACACACAGGCCGTTTCTCAGTGTGCATACTTGTCCGAACTTGTGTACTCGTGTCCTTATGAAACGTCATCAACGAGGACTTTTCCAGTCCTATGTATGCATAACGGCTCAAAGTTCCCGGATGTGTTCTTGCTCCACCCATTGTATCGAGGATGCATCAATGCATCCTTCTGCGGACATGGGACAGCAGTTTCCCATAATGCATTGCGTTGCAAACCGTTAAACTCCGAATGTCAGAGGAAAAAGCGAATAACTAATGTTTTACATTGGAGATATAAATAAAGTAACAAAGTTGTCTGTTATTGTAAATATTCGCGTGTAAACTGTAAATTTTGCTGTGTGTATTACTCTTCCCGATCCTTCAAAATGCTAATTAGCTAACCCACTATCAAAATAAAAGCACTGTAGCTCTGTTCTGATGATCTTCTTCCGGCTCTTGGAGAGTACAGACGCCTTTTTCCTCCTCTCCTCCCTATCTTATCCCCAAGGCTCTTTGTTTGTCTTTGGGTGTGCGGAGCTTCTACATTTTTTCTGGAAACTGGCTTGTCTGAATCTGGTGCCCTTGAGCCTGTGAGGCTGAAACAAATACCCTCCCTCAGAAGAAATGTGGAATGCTGCCGTTGCCATGGCAACTCTGTCTCCCTATCCCGGCCTGGGTGGGACTGCGAGCTGTGAAGGCCGCTGAATCGTTCCAGAAGTCACTGTGCTCTGTAAACCCAACAACCCCCCACCCCTATCCAGACTGAGGTGGAGAGCGCTGCTTATCGCGGCTGCTGCTGATGTGTGGAGAGTCCCGAAACCCTACCACCCCACCTAGTTGACACTTATGTTGTGTAATGTCTGAAGTCTGTTGCATTTCTGTCTGAGGTGTGTTTTGCGTAGCAATGCTGTCCTCCCTGTGGAGGGTAACTCTGAAGTGCCTTTTTTCCCTCCACCTGACTCAATCCTCATGTAAACCCTCTGATCTCTTAAGGTAGCGCGACTCGGGTTGCGAATGACCACAGTCACCAATTCTTGCCGTGTCTGATCTCAGAATTGTGTGTACTGAAACTAATTTCCCTCTGGGATTAATAAAGTATCTTTGAATTGAATTGAATAATAAACTTTTTATTCATTAAAAAGTGGGAAATGCTAGTATTTTAATAGTTTCGATCAAAAGTGGGCCCAATATAATACAAATAATACTTTTTTTTTTATTATTTAAGTAACGAACTAGACTTTTGTTTTAATGTCAGATCATTTTTTTATCTGTAGCAAGAAGCAGCGCTTGTTGCCAGGACACAACGGAGTACGGTTCTGTTCCAAATGCCGTCCTCGTCCTCCCGTACTCGGTAGAACAGACTTTCTGGTGTCCTTGCCAAGAACATACTTGTCTAGTACACAAGAACATACTAGCATCCTTGAGTACTGAGAAATGGCCACAGGCTCAAAATGATGTTGTGATGTCAGAATGTACCAGCTAATGTCCAGAATGCAGCAACACACGTCACCTCTCTGTTCATTGAGCTCCACTAGCTACCGCTAGCAGCACGCATCAAATTCAAATAGCTAACACTAGCATACAAAGTCCGAGATGGTACGGCTCCCTTCTACCTGAATCATCTTGCAAAGGCTTACGTCTCGGCCTGGCCGCTCCGGTCATCACAGGATCGTCGGCTAGCAGTGCCTACACCACGCTCAGGACAATCCAGACTTTTCTCATGCATCGTTCCACAAATGTGGAATGACCTACCAAGCACTACAAGAACATCAGCTTCCTTTTTGACTTTCAAGAAACTCCTGAAGACCCTGCTCTTCAGAGAGCATCTTCTAAACTAGCACCCTCCCTGTACCCGTCCCCCTCTCTACTGTCCACTCCTTGTTCCCTCCTCTCCATGATTGATGTCAAGTTGTTGTTATTGTTGTTGTTAGCCTCAAGGGCAACATGCCGATTATCACTTGTAAGTTGCTTTGTACAAAAGCGTCTGCTAAATACATAAACATAAACATAATGTCATAGTGTACCTCTTAGCCAATAGCGTTGGCAGATTTAAATTCAAATGTGGTGCAGTTTTTACCTGAAGAGGGCACAACACTGACAGAAGAAGAAAATATCTTTTCTTTAGCGCCTCTCAAGATAAAAATCACGAGACGCTTCACAAAAACAAAAAAAATGTAAGAATAAAAACATTTAGAAAATGGTTAAAAATAATTAAAATGAGCAAAAAATAGACAATTGTGATTAAAAATGTAAAGAAAGAGAGAGTGAATAGGAAAGAGGGAAATCAGTGGATCCTGAGGAAGGTGGAATAGGTGGGGAGAGCAGAATAAAGAGAGAGTGGTGAAGAAGGTCATACAAAAGCCAGCTTGAACAAGTGAGTCTTCAGCTGCTTTTTCAAGGAGACCACTGAGTCCACTGATCTCAGGCTCAGGGGGAGAGAGGTCCAGAGTCTGGGGGCCACAGCAGCAAATGATCTGTCACCTTTGGTCTTTAGCCTGGTGCTGCACAACCAGTTTAAGGCAGAATATTTAAATTTTAACCAAGATGCTCTAAAGTGCCAAATTATTGACTACATGTCTGCAGCACAATCAGACACTCATTTACAGTTCATCAGCAAAAATAAGTTGATTTGGGGGTGGCTTGCTCTTTAAGAAAACCAGAAGTGTGAGATGATAAAACATAATGAGGTTAGCAGCAGCTGAAACAAAATGAATTATCCACACAAAAGTTTGAATGTGACTCTGATATAAAAATGTTCAAGGTTGCTTCTGTCGGGGCGTTGTCTTTCTGAAATGTGCGTGTTGTTGCCTTGGCAACAGTCATTTATTGAATAGAAACATTTTTAACACTAAAGTAAAATAAAACATTAGCATTTGAAACGTTACAGCAAACACAAGTCTGTGCTAAGGGTATGTGTTCATACTTGTTTGTCTTCAAATTATCCTCTTAAGTGTTGGTGCTGCTGTAACAAGTGAATTTCCACACTGTGGGATCAGTCCAGTGTATTCCATTGTGATGAAATCGCCATAACTACTGTTGATGTTACAGCTATCGTAGTAAGTAGCCCGCTGTTGGTGTTAGCGGCTAACTAACAAGTTAGCCCAAATAGGCAACTCTCCTGGTCGTCAGCAAGATCCTCGTGAATCCCTGTTGCCGTGCCGTGGAGGGCAGATTTAGCACATTCTTCACTTTTTATAAAACGTTCAAGCTCCTTTGCCGGTTCATCGTGATACTGTTGTTTGGGCCTCTCCGGTGGCGCCACAGCTGCGTGAAGGGCAGAGGAAGCAGCAGAAGACGCCACACCGTTTTTGAGGGAAAAAAACAACGCTTCAAAAAAATCAACCATGGTTAGAATATTGCAGTCGTCGTCCAAATATGTTGGTAGTCAACGTAATCAGCGCCGGTTAAAGCATTTCCAGTGTTTCTCACATGAACAAAACCAGCTCGGCGGTGAAGAGGTGAGATGACTTTTTAAAACTGAGAATGTGCAGAGACGGTATTGTCTTCTACCGGGACAGCTGCACCCGGAGATAAGTGATGCTCCACCATGTGTTTTGTCTTCCTGGCTGATGTGGTGTGTGATTGTGTTCATCTGTAGGGTCGGTGTAGGGTTTTATCACAGTTGGACACTTGTATGACCCGCTCTGTCTGCAGGTTCTGTATTACTGCCCGGGGTTCAGAGAAGGCATAAAGAAGCTGCACGACCTGTCTAAACAAAAAGACACACCAAAGGAAGAAACCCAGAAAAGTGAAGAGGTTGGTTCAGGGTCTTCAAGCTAAAGTGCAACGTTTCTCTTTTTTTTCTAAGAAAATGAATCACTAGTAATTGTGTTTAATTTCAGCCGCCATCCCAACAGTCAGATGGTGCTTCTGAGGCTCTGCCATCTCACATGGAGCTCCTGTGGAGCTTCAACAGTCTGATAACTTCAGCTGAGCAGCTGCAGTCCAGCTACCTGCTAGCCCCTAAGGGCTTCAGTGGAGAAGAGCTGGCCACACCACCTTACAAAATCCTTCACACGCTCCGGTAAAGCTTGGTTTGGTTTCATTTAGGGAATAGCTGCTGTTTGAAGTTCGTGCTGGTTAGGTGTCGGTTGTGTTTTTGGGTTGCAGGCAGCTGAACTCCATGTACGAAGGCCATCTCCAGCACGATGCTCAGGAGGTTCTCCAGTGCATCCTGGGATACATTCAGGAGGCGTGTCACACCATCAGAAAGGAGCAAGAGTTGGAAATCAAGGATGTCGGAGAAGTTAAAACGGAGAACGGCACTGGGACGGAATCGAAAGCATCTGCAGATGAAGACGGCCAGGTCAGCAGCAAGAGGAAGAGCGACACCGAAGTGGGGAACGTCAAGAAGAAGCCCAAGTCCATCAAGTCTAAAAAGTCTGACTCTGCAGAGGTAAACGTCTCTAGACCCTTCACTCGCTCCAAGAGAAAATCCTCCAGTGACATCACAGTGGACAGCACCCAGACTGAAGACAAGGAGGAAGAGGAGAAGACTAAGAAAGTGAATAAGGACGGAGGCAAAGAAGAAAAACTATCTAAGGAGATGGATGGAAAAGGGAAAAAGAGGGCCAAGCTGAGCTGGCTGAGACCGTCGGGAAAACAGCCAAGTATTTTCTCCAAGTTCTGCAGCGTCGGGAAGCTCAGCTCCACAACCGTGAAGAACCAGAACCAAACGGAGTCGAAAACAAAGCTGACAGACGAGATGGATGATAAAACGGGCCAAGAGCCATTGTCCCAGAACGCTAATGAAGAGAAGAACATGAAGGAACATCAAGGTAGGCCTCGAACACTTCCTCAGAGAGGGAGAGAGGCTTGCAGTTTTTCTACAGTGAATAAGGTGTTTGTGTGTGTGTGTGTGTGTGTGGCTCAGATGTCTTGGGCTTGATGGAGAGGTTGTTCCAGGGTCGCCTGGTTCTGAGGACTCGATGTCTGGAGTGTGAGAGCTTTACAGAGCGGAGAGAAGACTTTCAGGACATCAGTGTCCCCGTCCTCGATGAGCAGCCCAGCAGCCCAGAGGATCTCACAGAGAGTGAGTTTTTGTTTTTATACCAGAGGAACAAATATCATCAAGCCTTTTAGAATGAACAGTAATATGTTGAAAGTTGTTCTTAATCAGTCCACTTCAGAAAAAACTCCTGTCCTGATCTCTCTCTCGCCCCCAGTCTCTCCGGACCCCAAACCGGAGGTGAAGACTCTGAAGTGGGCCATGGCTCAGTTCGCCTCAGTGGAGCGCATCGTCGGGGAGGACAAATACTTTTGTGAGACGTGCTTCCATTACACCGAGGCTGAGAGAAGTCTGCTGTTTGACAAAACACCTGACGTCATCACCATCCACCTGAAGCGCTTCTCTGCCAGCAGCTTAGAGTGAGTGCTCAGCAGACCCAGCTGGTCAGACCTGTGTGGAGTTTGAGCAGAGCTTTGCTCTCTGGGTCGTCATCGCACTAAAATGATGTAAATCACTGCAAAGACTAGTCAGATCGGTGATTTAGATTTTTTTCTGTTTGGCTGCAGGTTGGACCCGTATGCTGGCCTCTCTAAAGTCAACACCCCCCTGCAGACGCCGCTGACTCTGTCTCTGGAGGAGTGGTGCACAAAAACGTCATCTGCCAGAGGGCAGCGGTATCAGCTGTTTGCCGTGGTCATGCACAGCGGCATCACCATTAGCTGTGGCCACTACACTACTTATGTCCGCATGTCCGACCTGAAAGATGTAAAGCTCTGGCTGCAGGACAAAAAAGAACCAGAGGTGGAAACCGATGAGAGAGAAAGGAAAAAGGGAGCACAGAAGGAGGACAAGCTAAACTACGACGATGGAGAGGTGTCCGTCAGTCTAAATGCTAGAGGACAGAGGCGTTCGGGTTTGGCTAGCGCTAAAGCAGCGAGCAAAAAGCCGTCGGAAGCTGGTGTTGGACTCTTGGGAGGACAGAGGAGTTTGTCTGGTTATGAGCTGGAAAACGGCAAACACACAGAAAAAGCAGCCAGTCGTAGAGCATCCGAAGGTTCAAAACGGCAAAAGACCATAAACGGCTCCAGGCAGAACACCGACGGACTTCAAAAGGAGTCTGAGACGACTGAGGAGACCTCTACGGGGATGAAGGCGACAGAGCAGCAAGCTTTGAACCATCTTCTGGAGTACGAGGGGAAATGGCTGCTGTTTGATGACTCCGAGGTGCGTTTGTTCGAGGAAGAGGATTTCCTGCGAGCCTGCTCCCCCGAGACGTGCTCCTCCTCCACACCTTACCTGCTGTTCTACAGGAGGATGGCTGAACCTGGGAACTAAACCAACAGCTGGAGCTTTACCTGTGAAGCTTGGTGCCAAATATCAGAGACTAAGATGAGGATCCCTTCTGACCCTGAAGCTTCTACCAGCAACAGTGGGACCAAGACCCGTCTCATCCTCTCACGCAGGGACTCCTTTCGTAACAAAACACATTAGCACAGCTTTTTTCCCTCCTGTACGATCATAAAAGGAAGCTGAAGCCTTTTATGGTTTTATTATCTATATTTTAAGCCTCTATACTGTCTTAGGTCTTTACCTAGCGCTAAAAGCACATTTCTACTAATCTTTCATAGATCGGATAATTGTACATCTAATTTCAGGTTTTGTGCGGCCTAAACTTGTTCTGTATTATGTTTTTTTGCACCATTGCTGCATATTTAAAGAAGTCTCTTCTTTTTGAGTGTTTTCTTGACTTGTGCAAAAGCCATAACTCAGTAATGTGCTGTTGGGAGTAGGAAAGCAGCCTCAGCAGCAGGTGTGTAAGAAATAATGAAAAAGGTTGGTCCGTCTATACTTACTCCAAGAAATGATCAGGTTTTTACAAATACAAACAGGAAACGTGGTTTAATGTTGTACAAAATACACAAATGTGAAGCATTTGAATGGTTTTAAGCTAAAGGATAGATTTGCCTCTAATTGTTGCCGTTTTTGGTTTTTAGACGGATGAACTTTCCTCCACAGCTGTACATAGATGATTACCAGACCAGAAACACCTAAATGACTGCTAAAGGGAAATATTTCTTTTCACTGAATAAATGTGCTTTAAAACAACCAGTTATTAAAGCTTAAATGGTTCTCAGTGCTTTATATCCTAAGCACCATTATTTAGCTGATTTACTGTTTTTGAGTTCATAATTACTCCACCTTGTTTTCCTGGAAAATGGGGGACTATTTTTAATAAACAATGTAAAGTGTCAGTAGACTACCCCTACCAGGCTGTAAGTTATGAGCAATAAAGTTTTTACCTTCACCACCTCGACTATTATTAACGGACCTTCTCCTGCTGCGAGCAGGTCCCTTATAGTTCACCAGAGGATTTGATCTCTTTATTCGTCGAACGTTAACGTGGCTCCAAGGACGGCACGCACCCCCACAAATTATACATGAAAACAAGCGGATCAGCTGTGGGACACGTATTACTTTTCTAAACAGTCTGATTTACCGTAGCAAAATTGACAAAAAAACGTGTTCCACTAAATTTGCATAATTATCAGATATGTGCACATAATTATGTTCATTTATTTAGCAGATGCTTATCCAAATTGACTTAGAATTTATAACCTATAGGTCATGTTGTGATCTGTGGGGGAAACCCACGCATGCATGGGGAGAACACGCAACTCCACGCAGAAAGTCCGCAGCCGAGTTTCGAACCTGCAACCTTCGTGCTGCGAGGCAACAGTGCTACTCCGCCACCATGCAGCCCTAATTAGATAGCCTCTCTGATTTTATCTTTTTATTTTTTTGTACCGTAACTTCACCCAAACATTAATTTGTGCTGTTAACCCAACGTCACTCACAAATTATTTGGCCTCTGTAGCACAGGACCACTGTCTTGTGCCAGCAGGCTGGTCCCTTTTAAAATTTCTTCAGACATTTTCTAGTTATTAAAGCAGAAATCAAAGACAACAAAAATCACCATTTAAATATTTACTTAGTAAAATATTAAAGTAAAACAAAACTACATTAAATTATACAAGGGTGTTTTAAGTACCTAACTTTAAAATATCGTTGCTTCAACATGATAAATACTGGTACCATTCTTTTTGAAACACAGACTTTCAAGTTGTAAAATGCGCTGCTACACCATAATAAAAAAGTGCACACATGAATGAATACAGTTTTTTTTTGACACATCGTACACGATTAAATAAGACACCTGGACTAGTAAAATCATACAGGTTGTTTTTCTGTTGTAAAAATTTTGGCTGAAAAGGGATTTTTGGCACTTAAATGGATCTCAGAACATTCATAATGGTTAACAGCTCGGCCAGAATGTTCTCTCGGCATCAAGAGTCAACGTCACCTTTTGTTTTTTTACAAGTAGCTGAAGAAAAAAAGCATCCACAGTAACAAACGTCTGGCAGAAACCGCCAAGCTGTGTCTTCATCTTAGCTGATTGTGTGGCCGTACCTCTGTAAACAGATTAAGACACTGGAATGAAAAACCAAGCTGCAACTTGTAACCTGTTCCTTTTACACGCTTTAACACCAACTTTCAACCGACACTCCTATATACACTTCAGAATAAATTAATATTGCAATTTCTGTTATGTCTTTGAGTGTGTGTGTGTGTGTGTGTGTGTGTGTGTGTGTGTGTGTGTATTCTTGTCATCTTCAAATATCAAGCTTGCGAAGACTCATCCTGCTGAAGGAATCTCTGCAAAGAAAAAAGAAAAAACTTAATACATACAAAAACTAAACATTTCATTTTCAGGTCTGAAATGATTTAAAGGTGGAAGAGATGATGCTTTTCTTGCTGTTCAAGCGAGCTACCTTTTAAAAATACACGATTCAAAGGTCCAACCCCTTTTCCCCTCAAGAGCCAGAGAACAGAAACATGCAACACTTGCTCCCGAGCCTTCAGAATTAAGTTTTCGACCCGCTGTTGGGACCTTTTCTGCTATAATTCCCAACGTCCTGTGTGGCTCCAGGGAGCACGGCACGCCCCACCCAGGCCAGACTCAGACCCACGGGCCAAACCGAGAACCAGAACTAATGGGAGTCTTGTGGTGACCTCCATGGCTGCAGGGGGCACGACACACACCCTGTATCCGACCAGGGAGCCCGTCCCGGGCCAGACCAGGAACCAGAGCTAAAAACAAGCAGTTTTTTTTTAGCTTTCCTGGTTCATTCTTAAAGGTGTGGAACACTGAAAAAACATTTTATTGATTATTTCTGATCAGGCTGAACATGAAAATATTCTCCTACACCCATCTCCTGCATTAGCTTCTGATAGAAAATAGATGATGAAACTATAGGATTAGAAAATCCTGACAGATCTACATCACACTGTCACTTAACATTCATCTTGACTCACGACGGGGAAGGCTGTTGTTGGTTTAGCATTCAGGAAACAGCAGAGAATGTATCAGCTAGTAGAAGCTAACCATTAGCATTAGCACCTCCACCACACAGCAGAACTCCTTCATTCTTGTGGTCTTGTGTTATTTGTGGAGATGAAACGCCAGCGTTGCAAAGCAAACTGAGTCAGTGATAGAGTCGTGTTGCTGTTAGCTTAACAGAGATGTCCAAATATCAGGAACAAAAGACTCTAAATCCTGTTATATGGAGCTCTCCTCTGGTGTAGCAATCTGCTAGTTCATGAAACAGGTGCACCAGAGCTTTTCCCCCCCAGAGTACGACTTATAAGGCATTCATTCCTACTAGAGGCCATTGCAAATTGAGTGACTAAATGAGTGTTCCACACCTTTAACCTCAGAATCACGCTCGGTGAAATCAACAATCTGGGAAAACCAGTCGTGAAGAATGGGACGCCCACCACTTAAAACACCATGATTGGATGAGGTTTTTCCAGGATCGTACATTTCAGAAGTGATAAAAACATTTTTTTGGTCAGAATACACTAATTATTGGTTGTCATCAATATGTGAAGATCATTTCAAGCACAACATTTCCTTAAGTGCATATATAAAGAAAGAAATGGACCGTTTATATGTATGACAGCTGTTTTTAAACATTTCATCCTGTATCTCATACGCATGATGGGATTCCATTATGAGGATTAACAAACCAAGATATTTGAGTAAATGTAGTTTAGAACAAACATCATGTTTCCCTGCAGTGACAATAATGATGTTTGTGGGCAGCTTTACTAAATACTCCGGTTTAGACTAAACTCAAAAACAATCCTTTGTGTATTTTCTTTCTAGCAGCTTTGAATTTGTTTCTTCAGTAACAAAAAGGCACGGGACACAAATGTGGTCTGGAAACTACCTTATCAAGCTGTCCGTTTGCTGCGTGAGTTTTACAAAAACAAAACAAAAACTCAGAAATTCACATCCAAAGGGGGGAAATCTCATTCACAGGAACCATGAAGTAAGTCACCTGTGCGAGTTGACCTGCAGGACAGGTTTGTAAAGCTGAGGGATCTTCCTGTTGATGAGCGGCTGCAGCGCCTCCTTCAGCCTGTGGTAATTCCTCTCAAGTTCCCTCTGGTACTCCTTCTGGTCCGGGCCAATCAGGCTCTTGTTTTTCCGCAGGGCGTCTTCGCACCTTTGGATTTGGAAATGTCAGGATAGGAATTTAAAAAATACTCTTAAATGTGTCCTAATTCAGGGGCAGGATCCGTGTAAAGACTCATCCTGCCCAGTGCACACGGGTGGAGTTCTTCATGGACCGCTACAACCGGAAGTGAGCAGCTATGAATTTAGACCGTTTTACCTCAATATGTATTCTCGCCCTTATTTGGTCAAGTGTCCTGTTGCAGTGGCAGTACTAAGCAGCAGAGGTGTGACCAAGTCACTTGTTTGCAAGTCACAAGTCTTTCCAGTCACGTCTTGAGTCAAAAACAACCAAGTCAAAGTTGAGTCCGAAGTCAATGATGTGGAAGTCCAAGTCAAGTCCAAGTCCTTAACTTTGAATTTTCAAGTCATATTCAAGTCATCTGTCCAACTTTGATTTAATGATGATGATAATAATAAAACTCCAGAAATAGTTTCTTAAAGCTTCGTTTATTTGCTAAAACAAGCCGGAAGTGCAACTGAACCTGATTATAAACAAAGAGCTGCTGCATTTGGCAGTAAATCAAACTCAGAACCAAGAATGATTCATGATTTTTGTCCATGTCGTGCCACGTTTGTGCTACAATATCAAATGTGCTCAAGTCATTATCAAGTCAACAGATGCAAGTCGATTCAAGTCGCAAGCCATTGGCGTCCAAGTCCGAGTCAAGTCGCAAGTCTTTATAGATTTAATCAAGTCAAGTCAGAAGTCATTAAAATAATGACTCGACTCTGACTCGAGCCCAAGTCATGTGACTCGAGTCCACACCTCTGCTAAGCAGAAGTTAAAACTGAACGATACAGGTGCCCATATGAGCTTGTTTGAAGGTTTTTCTAGACCTATTTAAAAAGAAATATACAAATGAAAAAAGCCTAACAACACAACCGCTTTAACTGTTCATTTTGTACCAGCAGATACAAAGATATTTAAAGAGCAAGTCACCCCCTACCAGAGTCTTACTCCACTCCCACTTCTTGTTTGAAAAATGCAACAAATGCCGTTTCCTGGCACACGGAGAGGGCGGAGCTGCTAACAAATACACACACACAGGCTCACAACGACATTGTGACATCACAATGTACCAGCTAATGTCACAGTGTACCTCTTAGCCAGTAGCAATGACAGATTTAAATTCTAATGTAGTGCTGAGGTTTTTTTTTACCTCAAGACGGTGCAACACTGATAGTTTTAGGTAGAATAATTAAAATTGAACTAAGATGCACTAAAGTGCCAAATTATTGACTACACATGTCTACAGCACAATTAGACCATCATTTGTATAGTTTATCAGCAAAATAGTTAATTTGGGGGTGACTTGCTCTTTAAACTTAAAACTAATCCTCTCCTGCTTCATCTGCCATCTCTACAATAGATTGTAATGAATCCTGGGGTAGCCTTTGCCAGTAAGGATACACCAGAAATTTAGGCAAAACAAGAACAAATCGCAGCATTCTTTGAGTTTGGACAGCTTTAAACTGGCCTTAAAATGCGTCCTCGGCAAGATGCAGCCCCTGAATTTTGACACAGTCTCGGCTTTAACTGTAATTCAGTCCTCTGTGATCCATCCTTTACCTCTTTGTGAAGTCCTTAAAGCAGAGCCGTAGCTTGTTGTGGTGTCTGTACAGTTTGGGGTCACTGGGGATCTCTGACAGAAACACCTGAGCCACCTCCAAAGGCCCCTTAAAAGTACATACATTAGATTAGTAGCAGTCACTTTCCCAGAGCGTTCCAATCTTTTTTGTGTCTTACCTGGTTCACCGTCGTGCCCACAGATCCCTGTAAGACCATCTGTAGCATTTTAGCATCGGCCGGGTCCTGGTGGGTGGCAAAAGCCAACTCTTGAGTCTTCTTCTGCATGTCCTCTATAGCCACCTCTATGGGTGTGGAAATAATCTGCAACGGAAAAAAGGATTCATTCAAATGTCTTTGTTTTGTTTTTTATGCACCGATTAAAAGTTTCAGTAACCCTGCAGAACGGATCGCCCACCTCCTCTTTGTGGACGATGTTGATCCTGGTCTTGATATAAGGAAAGGCGTGCGACGTAGTGAGGATGGTCTTGCGTTTGAACTGCTCGTGCAGGTCTCCGTGTGCCCGTCCATCCAAGGTGAAAGGAGTGCAGTAGACAAAACGTCTCAGGTTGTAGTTCTTATCAAAGTAGGTGATGCGGTCTTTCATCTCGTAGGTGTCGAAGTACGGCTCCACGTACGTGATCTGGATAAACGCCTGCATACAGAAACGTTTCTCTAATTGTGAGGGTTTCTTATTTGATCTTAGCCAATAAAATCACAGGAATAAACGGTTTCGACGAATCTGACCTTATTAGGGTCCAGCTTGCACTTATCTACAGGGTTGGAGTCCTTGATGACCTCTACCTGATCCTCTCCAAATCGCTCCCCGTAGAAGCTCTGGCAGAAAAGAGAGGAGGGGCTTGTTGGTGGAAGGCGACATGATGCTCAGAGCTTAAAGAACCCTCAGCAGGACAACGAGCTTTCGTTTTACGCGTCACTGAGTTTACCTCAAGTCTGTGGGAGATTTCAGCCAGTTTGGTGATGGCAGGTTCTTTGTACACAAACTCCTGCTCGTCTAGATCCCCAAACTTGGAACCGTAAAACCCGACTCTGAAGTAAGTACCAAACATCCTCTTCCCGTTCTGAGAGCAGATCAAAGTGAGCGTTAGAGACATGCGCCATGGAAAAAGTGAGACAAACAGATGATTAATTTAGAAACATATTCAGACAGTTGATTTAACACAGTTTGGGCTGTGATGAAAAGCTCTAGGATCCTACAACTTTGGAAAACCTTTGAAAACGATAGATCAGTAACACGTTAGCGGCACGTTCCTGGTCCTTATGCAGCAGAACCCAACATTACCTATTAAAACTTCCACAATTTTACATGATTTGTTTTTAGTTCATGTGGTTTGTTACGACCAAACGATGAACAAGTTGCTTTGAAAATTAGCCACTAATGTGTTACTAATCGGGCTATTCATGAGTATCGCTCCAGTGGAACGCTTCTTCCTGTTTTGTCCTTCTTTGAATGGCATCCACTGCAGGACCCTTTTCCCTGGAACATGAAAAAGTTCTTAAAATTGGTTTCGGTGGTTCTTGAGCCTCTTTGCAGCACTCTGATGACCAGAAACTGAATTTAATAGATTTTTTGATTAAGATTAGCACCAGTGGTCTCTACCCTTTTCACAGCCATAGCTGTTTAATGTGTTGGTAGCTCATGTAGGGCTAGCAGCTAGCTTTGTCAGGTTATTGACCAATAAAAAACAAAAGAAATTAAAGAATTTATCTTTTATGTTTGCATCATGGTGGAGCCTGGAAATAAAACGATAACATTTTTGGAAGGTGAAGCAAAGAGGTAAAACCAGAGTAAATATCAGCGTGGCCTACACTTGTTTGAAGGAGCTAAAGGAGGCTAAAAAATCCTGGACTGATGATGACCTGGCTTTGTTGGTACCAGACTTGTAAGTAATACAATTTTTTTGTCAAAAGTGTGGATCTTTTTACTTCGTGGCTTATTTAGTATCAGTTGGCTCCTGTTAGCATTAGCTTGTGGTTAGTGCTAGTAACAGCAGGCTGCTGCAGAGTTTTTTTTAACTACACTTGTAATTCAGCTTTCAACCAGTTTGTGGGGGTGGCTATTGAATGTCACTTTCTAGGTTCATTATGTAGAAATAAAGTGAAAATGACATCCTGTGGTAAAATGTGGTTACTGCAACCACTTTAAACTCTGGAGCTTTTTTCCACCCATTGTCAAAATAAGTCGTCTGCGAAGCAATGTTAGCTCGCAGGAGACATGGCAACCCCACAGTCACTGATGGTAAACAGTAGTTACATCCCTCCTTCCTGTTTTGAAAGGAGAAAAACTGACTATTCCCACAGCCAGCTGGATATGAAATATGTTTCAGTATAACCTTCCTTCCAAAATGACTGAAACATTAGACTCTTGTGGGATTTTCTCATTTTATTCTTACATACTGCACCTTTAAGTTCAAACACAATGAATGTGTAAAACCATCGCAGGGACAGAAGTAGGAAGCATTAGGGCAAAGTTGTGAGGGAAATAAAAGGATCCAAACATATATAAATTAAATGTTCCCATCATATATACCCATCAACATTTACAAGTGTTTTTTTTTTTTTCTAATCTTTGTGGAGTTCTGTTATGGAACTGATGAGAGTAATAACTTGAGTCGGATCTCTAAAGAGTCTGTACATAACATGTTTTATACATCTGTAAGGCAGCTGCTGTTTGTCTAACAGTGAACTGAAAGAGGGGAGGAAGGAAACCAGTATCAGAAACAAAAATGATGGAGAAGTATAACAGCTTTCCCCGTTTCTTATAGACAAGAGGACGTAAAAGTGCTAATAAACTAAACAAGAGGTAATCACCATCAAACGATCCCTAATATTCACACAATATTCCAAATGATGCAACATCAACTCAGACTCAGGTGGCAAAAGAACTATAACGGCAAAAACTCACTACCCCTACCCCCATCCCACACCACCACCAAGTGTTAACAGGTGGGTCAATGTGTGTGTGTGCGTGTGTGTGTGTGTGTGTGTGTGTGTGTGTGTGTGTGTGTGTGTGTGTGTGTGTGTGTGTGATATAAATTTAAATGAGAAAATTTTAAGATACTGAAAGGAACCAATTCTTCAGGATGAATTAGAATAAGACAGAAATCATTTATTGTTCTTTTGAAGGTGCAATTTGTAGGAATGACGTACTGTGGTCAAATGTTGGTACTACAGTTCATTTTTTCAATCACAAAAATCACTTTCTCACTGCCGTTTCGTGAGTTTCATGGCTGTTGCCAGTTACGGATCAGCACCAGAAAATTCTAGATGACAAGCAAGACGAGTCATACGCAGTAAGCTGGTAAGTGGATGAATACGTTGTTATATCTGGTGTTAGCACTCTTGAGTGTTTTACTGTAGGGAGCACTTACTACACTTATTATGGCAATTTGCCTCCAGCATTGAAGGAAGTGTGGTTATTTGCCGTCCATCTGTTAGCATGCTGTTATTGTACTTAACGGCTCATTAAAGGAAGTAAAATGCAATGATTAACTCATTAATCACTTCACACACACACATATTACTGTAATATTGAGTAGATGGTAATAAAAAAACGTAGCTTGAGATATTTTGAGCCATTTGCTTCTGCTTCGTTAGCATTGTTAGCTCAACATTAGCCTCTAGCCTTCTTCACCAAATATTAGAGTAAAACAAAAAATGTTGTGGCTTCTTCTGGAGCTTTTTGCATGCTGGTGTCAAATTACAAATGTCGATGCTGTGGCGTTAGCTCACTGCAGATTCATCGATCTCACTGATTGTAATGTAAACAGTACCTATGTCCCCCAGCTGGCTGAGAATGAAACCTGTTTCAATGTAACCATCCTTCCAACATGGCTGAGACATTAGACTGCGTTGTGATTATTTCATTGGCAAACTTACAAATTGCACCTTTAAACTTGTTTGAAAAACTCTGATTAAGACGTTGTGTCAATGCCCTGAGAACTAAGGCACTTACCACAAGACACAATTAATTAAAGTAGGAAGGAGGGGTCAGCAACCGAGGAAATCAAAAAGGAGAAAACAGAACAAATTTTTTTGATCAGGACTGGGTTTCCCCACAAAATTCAAAAATCAACAGAAACCAACACACAACAGCAACAAAACCTTTACTGATTTTGAAAAAGAAAACAAATGTGTTAAGGATCCAAACCATGCAAAAGGCAGACATGTGTCAAAAGTTAAAAAAGAGAAAAATTAAACAAAGATCCACAGCCTCTAACGTACCATGCACCATTAGTGCATCTCCAAATAATGAAACAAGAACCCTACCAGTTCATGCAGCAAACCATAGGAATTCAGAGGTTAATACTGTTAACACAATGACAGCATGGATGAGAAAAATCAGGGGTCGATTTAGTTTAAACAAGGGGAAAAATGAATCAAATCCAAAAGAGAAAAATCAACTGAAAGGTTACGGTTAGTTGAGCCCTCATTGTGGGGAAAACAAAATAAAACTAAATAAATCAATTTGGTTCCAGCTTCAACCCAAACTTTCCCCCACCTTTGTTTTTAAAGGGTTTCATGTGTGTGTGGCATCAATGATCCACATCAGAAGCTAACAGCTAACCTTTATGTATAAAAGGTGCACTGAAATCGAGCCCTGTGCATGAAGATGAGATGAGATGTGACAGCAGACAGGAGTGTGTGTCAGACAGAAGTTTGCGGATGGTGCAGGTGATGCATTTACGTAGACTTTAGTCATTAGTGTCACATGGTGGCTGCCATGCACAGCCTCTCAGCGCTGTCGTGTGTAAAAACAGCAGGAGCTCCTCCTGCACAAGACGAGGAGGGAGGAGACAGGAAAGCGGCGCAGGGTCGTGCTGACTGTTCAGCAGACGTCCCTGGCGGGGCAGACAGTTAACCGTGTCTGCAAATGTTAATGAATTCAATGAATGAAGTAAAGCAGGGAGCAAAAAAAAAAGATGCCTTCAGCTAGCAAATAAAAAGATGAGTGAATAAAAACATGAGCAGGGCCAAGCAGGAACTATTTAACCACCTACCTCCCAGCCAGTACTCTGTGTAACAAAGAGAATACAAGACATGTGAAGACAAGACATTTATGAGTAGCGTGTCCACACGAGGACACGGTGAGGACAATAAAGCTTTTTTAAACTAGAGAACAGAGCGCCTGTTCTTATACAACACACATAAACAAACAGCGCTATCCATGAAGAACTCTGTTGGGTCACCGGATAACCCTACTAGCCAGATGACTGGAAACGTCTCCATGGTAACCTGATGTCCTCACTATGAGCTACACAACTGGCTTTCCCCCAAAACGGTCTCAAAAAAACAGCATCAGGTAAAAAATATCTAAATGGACAAAAGACATCATGCAACATCGTGTCTGAGTGGAGGCTGGTCTCAGAGCTCGGGTCTGGGGAAGGTGCAGGTTCTGCTACCTCGTTCCTAAACAGCGGGTCTGTGTGAAAAAAGTGCTCTGAATGTAAAGTTCAGAGTTTTCCAGACATAAACTACTTAAAACGTTTGTTAAACGGCCTCGGCGTGACCTCACACCGATACTTTTATCTGATTCTTATCTAAACTCTGCCAGATAACCATCCGTGTGTGTTGTGGATTTACCTGATGGACTATTTTGCTAAAGGCTTCCTGCAGTTTACCGTGGATGGTGGATAACTTCTTTGCATCCCTGTTGGCTTCGTGTATGGGGATCAGTACCTTGTAGACTTCATTCACTGCCTCATACATGCCGGCCTGGAGGGAAGAACAACCCCGCCGTGACTAAACTACAATCAGACACCCAAACATGACTGTTCATGATGAGAGAAGTGAAAAGATCACACATATTCCAACACCCTTCGCTCACCATGGAGAACGAGGCAGCGGCCTGCTCCAGGAGACCCACGAGACCGATTTCAGTGAAATACTTCCCCGAGCAGATGCCCTCCTCATCTGGCGACACCACGTCGTCAGATACTGCGGACTCCTCCAGCACGTTGGAGGAGATATTCTGCAGCACATTCGTACATCACACACCGTGTCCGCTGGCTTTGTTTTACTTCTCCGGCTCACGTTTCTCCCTACAGATGTTCCTACCTGGAAAGTGACGCAGCCTACAGGGAGATACTTGCGGTCCTCCAGCATACTCAGGTATTCTGCCACTAGAGCGGCGCTGTGCACCAGACACTGAGCAGCTTCAGCGTGGTTATTCCTCTCCGAGTGTTTTCCAGCCATGTTCTGGAGCCACGTTAGCCTCAGGTCTGGAGAGGTCTGGTATCCTTTTGCAATCCTAAAGGTCAACACAGACACAAGGATATAACCAGAGGAGGCAGAGGGTAAACTCTTTATTATTGTTACAATCAAGAAATGTAACTTCTGCACATCCAACTGTACATCTCCTTTAAGCCCCATGAGATGTCTAAGCTGCAGCTGTTACACACCTGCTTAGACTCTATCAAAACCTGGATGGCTGGGAGCTTTCTTCAGCTGAATGAAGATAAGACTGAGATCCTCATCTGTGCCCCAGACAAGCTGGTTCCCAAAGTCAGAGACTCTCTTGTTCAGCTTGCTTCCCACACCAAACCTTCTGTCAGGAATCTTGGCGTGACCTTTGACCCAGTTCTCACCCTGGATTCTCATGTCAGTTCTCTTGTTCGCTCTTCCTTCTTCCATCTCAGGAACGTTGCTAAGCTGAGTCCCATTCTGTCTCGCTCTGAACTTGGGACCGTTATCCACACCTTCGTCTCCTCACGCTTAGACTACTGTAACTCTCTTTTCACGTGTCAGAGCAGAACCTCCCTGAACCGTCTACAGGTGGTTCGGTTGCTAGTCAACTTCAGGGTTCATTTCAAGATCCTGGTTCTGGTCTATAGGGCCTTACATGGACAAGCACCATCTTACATTGGTGATCTTCTTAGTCCCTACACCCCCAGCAGGTCCCTGAGGTCCAGTGACCAAAGCCTACTGGTTGTGCAGCACCAGGCTAAAGACCAAAGGTGACAGATCATTTGCTGCTGTGGCCCCCAGACTCTGGACCTCTCTCCCCCTGAGCCTGAGATCAGTGGACTCAGTGGTCTCCTTTAAAAAGCAGCTGAAGACTCACTTGTTCAAGTTGGCTTTTGTATGACCTTCTTCACCACTCTCTCTTTATTCTGCTCTCCCCACCTATTCCACCTTCCTCAGGATCCACTGATTTCCCTCTTTCCTGTTCACTTTCTCTCTTTCTTAACATTGTCTTTTAATCACAATTGTCTATTTTTGCTCATTTTAAATATATATTAAACATTTTCTAAATTCTTTTTTATATTTTTACATTTTTTGTTTTTGTGAAGCGCCTCATGATTTTTATCTTGAGAGGCGCTATAGGAATGATATTTTCTTCTTCTTCTTCTAACTTCATTTGAACTTTGTTTGTGGCCACCAGAGGTGGGTCATATTTAACATTCTTCTTCCCCGTTTCATTTACTACAGAGCGTGTAACGCTCGCGTGGGTCATGCAGCCCTGAATTATTTAAGTTGTGAAGGCAAACATGGCTGGAATATCAAAGTATTCACTCATATCAGCGAGTAGGGAAAGATACTAGGGTTGGGCGATGGGACGAATTATGCGACCATCGGTGATGGGCTGAGTCGTCATGGTTGCTTTTTAGGGGTGTAACGGTACGCTAAAATCGTATTTGGTTTGGTTCGATTAATTTTCGGCACATTATTATTATATTTATTTATTCAATAATATCTGAAGTGGCTCCTATAGCGAGCCGAACCAGGTGTCATCACAGGCTGCTGATCCAGCATGATGTCTTTAATTATTTCACACTTTACTTGTGCAGCTATGAGAGTCACGTTCATACAGACAAGTGTTGTGTTTGACTGATGCTCCGCGCTTTTATTTCTGCAGCCAGCCTCAAAAACTCTCCTCACACCGCCCTTAAAACTCATATTAAATTACGAGCTTCCTCCACACAGTATTTTATGTTGTAGGATGAAAACGTTACATCAATTGTCACGGGGAAAATTCAACAGACATGTTTGTTTACATATTTGCCGCTGTGTGGTGGCAGTGTGAGAAGGGAAGGAGGGGCGACGCTCAGTTCAGCGTCTCTACGGGCTCCAGTAGCAGCGACTGCCAGCTGGTTTGATCCGCTCTAAAAGGCGTTGATCAGAATTTGCAGATCACATTTTTTAAACAGATCAGGCACGTGCAGCCATCATGTGTCACTGAATTCAGCATTTGTGCAGAAACTTGCCTAGGAACGTTTATCCGCTGCTCTTAAATCACGCAAATAAAAATTTATTATTTAAAGGGACTTTACGGAGTTTTGAATTTTTATGCTCGCGATTACCCCCTCAGGCCAAAAGCGTAACGGCAGCTTCAATACTGCAATACTGCTTCAATACGGCAGCTTCAATGCTGTACGTGCACACTCCTTAACGAAAATAACAGCTGAGACAGTCCCTTGTGCGTGTGTGTGTGTGCGTGCGTGCGTGTGTGTGTGTGTGCGTCAATTCTTTAAAAATCCTGCCGTGTGAATTCATGGATTTTTTTTTCACATTCTGTCTCTCACAGTTGAAGTGTACCTATGAAGTAAATTACTGACCTCTGTCATCATTTTAAGTGGGAGAACTTGCACAATCGGTGGCTGACTAAATACTTTTTTGCCCCACTGTATATATATTATATCAATATTATCAATAGAAACTATATACATGATAAATGGTAAATGGCCTGTATTTGATATAGCGCCTTCTAGAGTCCTGGAACCCCCCAAGGCGCTTTACAACACAATCAGTCATTCACACATTCACACACTGGAGGGGATGAACTACAATGTAGCCACAGCTGCCCTGGGGCGCACTGACAGAGGCGAGGCTGCCGAGCACTGGCGCCACAGGTCCCTCCGACCACCACCAGCAGTGTCTTGCCCAAGGACACAACCACAGCGACAGACTGAGCGGGGCTCGAACCTGCAACCTTCCGATTACGGGGCGAGCACTTAACTCCTGTGCCACCGTCGCCCCCATGTACATGGACATCTTCTCTTTTTAGAGAATATATAGATTTTTTTTAAAACAGGAGATATTGTCCAGTCCTGTTGGGGATGATTAACAAAAGCTTGTTTAGTTCCTTGTGTGGCCGTTACCTGTACATGAGATCTACCAACATCTCAGGATCTTCTTGATGCTCTTTCATCTTCACTGTGTCTGACAGGATCATGTGTAAATTAAACACGAGGTCTTGGACCTGGGAACAAAACGATAGAGCTTAAGAGAAATAACTATAAAACATCAGGGTTTGGTGCTAAAACTGAGCGACGAGATGAGAAAAGTAGCCAAAAAGCTCAGGGATGAATCTGATTTTCTGCTCTCGCACATGAACGACTAATTAAAACCTGGTCAGGTAAATTAGAACCTGGTCTGGGAACGTGGTCTCTCGGAGTTCCAGGTCCTCCTCCGCGTAGGTTAGAATGGTCTTCAGAGACCGCCGCAGGAACTCTTCATTAAAATTCTGGGATGTTCCCACCAGTGAGGACAGAGACATGGTCACCTGCATCTTCACTCTTGCAAAGTTCTAAAGACCAGAAGAAAAAAAAGATGATTGTATAGCAGTTTATTTATTTGTATCAGGGCTTTAGAGGATATGTTGTAATGTACACCTTTTATCAGGGCTGCCAACTTTTGAACATTTCAAAGAGTGATAAGGGGTCATGGAGTTGGGAGTGAGCGGGGTGGGGGGGTGGGTGGGGGGAATTAATATTGCTCCACATTTTATTGATTTATTTCTACTCTGTACGGAAGAGGATTAGAGCCACTGACAAGAAAAAAAGAATGAGAATTCTTACTTTTAATCTCGGAATTCTGACGGAATTCTGGGAAAAAAGTCAGAATTTTGTTTCTTTTCTTCTTTTTGTTTCTTTTCAGTGGCCCTAATCCTCTTCCGTACCTCTGACTCTACAGAGGAAACTGACCTTTGTTTAATACAAATTATCTTTTCGTGAGGACAATTTAACATCCAATTCTCCTGAACTTCTTCACATCATCTATCTATCCATCTATCCATCTATCCATCTATCCATCTATCCATCCATCCATCCATCTATCTATCTATCTATCTGCAGTAAAGAGTTACAGCCACATGTCACAAACGTCACACAGGAACTTTTAATTATAATTAATGTAATTTTTTTTCATAATATTACCAGCTTATTATTTCCTTCCAAGTAAAAAAAAATCTATCATGTTAAGCTAACTTCATGGTGAAATTGCATCCACTAAACAGAGGATTATGTTCATGTGGGTCATCAGCATGAAGTTAATGAAGTTATCAAAGAAACCATGGCTGGAATCAGTTTGACCTGTAATCTGTGTCTCTAAGTGTGTGTGCTGCTGTAATGAGAGGATGTCCCCACTGTGGGACTAATAATATTTACTCTATTATTTTATATTAATTCATATCAGCCAGTAGGGGGAAAATGTTTGAGGAATTTTGGTCTTTCCAGGCTTCCGTACCAGTAACCTGGTTATGGAGGAGGGGGTTCGTCTCACAAACAGGAAAAGCCCACTGGCGTCACCAACTAATGTAGGAGAGGGAACATGTGAGTGAGTCACCACCGTAGGAAGCCCAGCTTTCTGTGAGCGAGAGTAGCGAGCGATCGTTCAGAGACAGATCGCTCGCTACTGATAAATGTCTCTGTCTCATGCCCGTCCCATCAACAGTAGGTGGAACTCACCGCTCCGCCCATCTCACAACCAGAAAAAGGCACATCGGCTTGGATTATACAGATGGGATTATGTGTGTGAAATAATGCCAGTTAAATTATTACTTAAGTGTTATTTGTGTGCATGTTGTTCAGTAGCTAATGCTATAATTAATATAATCAGGTTTTTTCTGGCCCTAAAAACTGCTTGTAGTTGAATCTCAGATTGAGGAGGAGCAATGTGGTTTTCGTCCTGGCCGTGGAACTGTGGACCAGCTCTATACCCTTGCAAGGGTGATGGAGGGGGCATGGGAGTTTGCCCAACAAATCCACATGTGTTTAGTGGCTTTGGAGAAGGCTTATGACCGTGTCCCCAGGGGCACCCTGTGGGGGACGCTCCAGGAGTATGGGGTGGGTGGCTTTCTGTTAAGGGCCATTCAGTCCCTTTACCAGAGGAGCGTGAGTTTGGTCCGCATAGCCGGTAGTAAGTCGGACCTGTTCCCGGGGAGGGTTGGACTCTGCCAGGGCTGCCCTTTGTCACCGGTTCTGTTCATTACCTTTATGGACAGAATTTCTAGACGCAGCCGTGGTGTGGAGTGTGTTGAGTTTGGAGGCAGGAGAATCTCGTCTCTGCTTTTTGCGGATGATGTGGTCCTCCTAGCTTCATCCAGCTCTGACCTTCAGCTCTTGCTGGGTAGGTTCGCAGCTGAGTGTGAAGCGGCTGGGATGAGGATCAGCACCTCCAAATCTGAGACCATGGTTCTCGACCGGAAAAGGGTGGCTTGCCAACTCTGGGTCGGGGGAGAGGTCCTACCTCAAGTGGAGGAGTTTAAGTATCTTGGGGTCTTGTTCACGAGTGAGGGTAGGAGGGATCGGGAGATCGACAGGCGGATTGGTTCGGCATCTGCAGTGATGCGGATGCAGAGCCGATCTGTCGTGGTGAAGAGGAAGCTGAGCCAGAAAGCCAGGCTCTCGATTTACCGGTCGATCTACGTCCCAATCCTCACCTATGGTCATGAGCTTTGGGTAATGACCAAAAGAACGAGATTGCGGATACAAGCGGCCGAAAAGAGTTTCCTCCGTAGGGTGGCCGGGCTCAGCCTTAGAAATAGGGTGAGGAGCTCTGACATTCGGGAGGGACTCGGAGTAGAACCGCTGCTCCTCTGGATCGAGTCAGTTGAGGTGGTTTGGGCATCTGGTCAGGATGCCTCCTGGACGCCTCCCCGGGGAGGTGTTTTGGGCATGTCCTGCCGGCAGGAGGGCCCCGGGTCGACCCAGGACACGTTGGAGAGGTTACATCTCCAATCTGGTCCGGGAACGCCTTGGGGTCCTGCCGGAGGAGCTGACGGAGGTGGCCGGCGAGAGGACGGTCTGGAGCTCCCTAGTTGGGATGCTGCCCCCACGACCCGGACTCGGATAAGCGGAGGAAGACGACGACGACCTACAAACTGTGCGTGATGCGCGTTTGGGGCGCGCAGGCGCTAGTTTAGCATGAGAGATTGGAGGTGTGGCGTGAGAGCGTGTGCAGAGGGTCAAATGCGTGTGTCTCACTCTCAGTGCGTGAGAGTTGGCAGCCCTGCCTATTATAATATCATTTGGTGGACGTAGGCTTAGCAGCTGTACTCACATTCCCAATCTCAAAGTTCTGTCTCATGAGGAGGTAGAGGGAGGCGCTGGCGTGGGACCTGATGGTACTGATGCTACTGCTGCAGCTCCTCAGAAGTCTCAAACACAGATCTGCACACTGCTCCGTCTCCTCCTCAAACAGAAGTTCAGGAAACTGCACAAGCAAAGTCCAATTTAAACAGGCAGACAATTTAACCCTAACTCTATTCTTACCACTGAATCCAGATTTTAAGTGACATCAAGCCGTTAGAAGTCTAACCTTAGAAACCAGGGCTCTTTGTGTGGCAAAACAGTGCTGAAGGTAGAGGGCGCTCTGGTTGCAGGCCATGCTGTGGAGCAGCACCTTCAGCACCCCACCCAGGATGCTCTCCTTCGACTCCGTCACTGAAACCGTCTGCAAGGAAAAAGGGTGTATGAAACAGATTTAAAGAGCAGCCATACAATCTGAACAAAGAGCCCTATTTAAAGTATCAATGGCTGTGATTCTGTGGGTTTTGTTTGCATACCTGTACAATTATCTCCAAAGTATCAAGAATGATCAGGTTGGCCTCAGTTGCAAGGTTCCCATCAATCAGGGCTTCATGTTCCAGCTCGGCCCTCGTTCTACGAAAACAGAAAAGAGACATTTCACTAGGTGGGCTGCAGCGTTTGAGCCTTAAATCAAGCTGGTCGCAGCATCAGTGTACCACACATGAAGACAGATACACACGACGGAAATGATGAAACTCCAAATTGTGCAAACATTTTTAACTGATTTATTCTGAGTTTCAGAAGAGTCAGACTTTCTGGGAGACATTAAAACTGGTCTTGAGCGATCACCCTTCACCCTTTATGACCTGACCAAGGCAGCAAATTATGAAGTGTGTGATTAAAGAAATATACAAAGCAGAAGGCTAAGGAGCAAGTGGAAATACTGATAAAACTATCTCCAGCATGAGAATACCTGAAAGTCTGGTCTTAAGACAAGAACACAAGAAACTGAAAAGGGACCTGAGACATGCATCATCTGCCTTAAAGCAGAAACCCTCCGACGACACCATCTAGAGGTGGGAAAATGTATCGCACCTTAAGCCCCTCTTCCTACTTCTGCGATTACAGCTGGAAGCAACTCCTCTCATTCGAGAACGTGTACCTATAGCTGGGCTACAGACCTAAACCATGTTTTACTGATATTATTCTGACATTATGGTGTTTATTCATATATAGACATTTTAAATACTTACTAGTCCATAATCTTTATGTTATTATGTGTCCAAAATGACTCTCACATAAGAAATGTTGTCAACTCTGCATTGGTCTAGGTACAGGGTATCTGCAGGTTTAAGGGAGCCAAATTTAAGACTTTTTAATAACTTTTTTAAGGCCACTTTGACCAAATTTAGACTATTTTTAAAATAAAATTTAAGCTATAATTTCCAGCGATTGCCTGGCTGGAACCGGTGCTAACGACGTCACAAACGTGGGATTAGCCATCCAGTTACCATTAAACTTGCACTTTCCCATGGCGCAAGCTCCTACTAGCTTAACCAGCTAATGTGCTCATCTAAAAATAGCCCCCTTTCACAACCAGCTGAATGTGTACGGTTCCGCTTACGCCAATATCATACACAAAAAATGCTGAACACTAACTAGACATTCACAAAAATTTTATAGAAATAAAATACCTTTGTTTATTGGGTCTTTGGTAATTTAAGACCTTTGGAAACTGTATTTAAGGAGTATTTGTCATTTTGAAGGATTTTTAAGGCCTTCAATTTGGAAAAACTAACTTAAAACTTTTTAAGGACCCGCGGATACCCTGTAGGCATTTCAGCAAAAGCCTGCACACACTCCGATCAACATCTGTAAGCAGATGTCTAACACTATTGGCTAGTGCTGAGTGGCGCTTGATTCTAACTGCATGGGGCTCTGAGGGACACAGTGAGGGTTTACCAAAAAGAACAAGACATATTGTCAACAAATTATCAAAGTAGAGGGTATTTGCTCTTTTAGGGATTTCTTTAAAATCCTACATAATCCCTAAAAGGGATTAGACTCTGGATTGCTGCTTTGCCCCAGACTTTCCACTGAATGTGTAAGCGGGGCGTAACGTAATAAACATGTTTTACCCGTGAGCTCCCTTACCACCAAGAGCTTTTCAAATGCAAAATGGCATTGATGGCATTCCGTGCAGCTGGTCCTGTGAGGTCATGAAATCCCCAGAGAATTACAAGATCACACGTGATTTCTGTAGTTAACATGATAACAAGGAAGGAGAAAGGTGGCAGCATGTATCCAAAAAGGTTTGTTGTTTATTTTTTGTTTTGTTTACCCCGGCTACGGAGGTTTCACTGGAAATGATGTACGTTTCTTTACTAGTTAAAAGGGACTTTACAGACTTTTGAAATTTTCTGCTCGCGATTGCCCCCTCAGGCCAAAAGCGTAACGGCAGCTTCAATAGTAGGCTCGTGCACGAGGCACGCATGCTGTACGTGCACACTCCTTAACGAAAATAACAGCTGAGACAGTCCCGTGTGTGTGTGTGTGTGTGGCCCGGAGGACAGAGGACAGGAGAACGCGCAGCTAATTAATTAAATAATTTGGTTCTGTACCTTTCTCTTCAGCACACCCGACAAAGGTTTAAGATGGGTCAGTCCTCCTGCATGCTCTGATCATTCCCTTCCCTTGCTTGAAAAATTGTTCCAAAATGAAAGTTGAACCCACATCTTTTTTATCTGTGAATTCAATGCCGTTCGGCGAGTCTCAAATAAAAATTTGGGCATCTTTCTGTAAAAAAATATACCATTAATGTAAAAAAGAAACTCTAAATGAACAATGTTCACACCCAGAATCGAACCCAGGTCTTCTGCACGAGAGTCCGACATCATACTCGGTGAGCTAAAGCGCCAGTGACGTCTTCTGTATCTGTAACATTTATATCCTTGATTACAGCTGAAACAACGTTCAAAGAACGGTTCGGAGCGAAAATGGCTATTTTGTTGCTAATTTGCAGGAAATATCTAGAAGAAAGTTCTACAGAAAGTAGCTAAGGGTCCTCAGAAATGTAGCTAGGTTCATCACTAGGCAACAAAGTCGCTGAGTTGGCACTGCCTCACTCTCTGCTGCTAAAGCTACGGATAGCAAATGCTACGGGCGATGCCTGAGCGTGAACGCGCATGAAGCAGCCTGCTCGACCCGAGCAGCTCTTTTTCTGTGATTTTACAGAAAAACAGGCAATCACAGTAAAAATGCCAGGGCTCATTCTACAGGACCAGGGCATTGCAGGAGAATGTATGAAGAAGATATTTATTATTTCTATACATGCTTTGGCTGTCAAACTTCCATAATGTCCCTTTAAACAACTGAAAGTTTGCATGTGACATTTATTTTGAAAGTTCCTGGAGGTTTAACACCGCCTTCATGTTTGACTTTTTGTATGGCCCGATCTGAATTGTTGAGTTTGACGCGTTCTGGAAGCGTAGCGAGTTAAGAGTAAGCAACGTGTACCTTCACTTCAGAGGTGCTTCTGAAACACTTCACGGCCGGTAGAAACACACCCATCCACTAAAACTGCAGCTAATTTTTGCGTACTACGTTTCGTGGCTGTTACGCAACACTTACTTGTGCAGTGGAAATGCCCGGTGAGTGCATGACGAATGGAAACAAACTATGTCAGTAAGATCTTCGCTACATGTGATCAACCTGTGTGAATCTTCTTTTGTGTGTTCATTCTGTGTGTCTCTTCTGCCAAGAACCAAGTAATACTTTGAGAATCTTTATCATTTATCTGTATCCTCTTTAAATAACCCAAGCAACAACACATGCACATCCAGTTAAGAACAATTCAGTTTAACCTGCAAACTTCCACCCAATCCAGACGGTTTATTAGAGGGATTAAAGCACAATTAAGTAAAGACAGAAGCAGGTAAGTCCGGGTCTACAGGTGGGATAGTATCAAAATGCTAAAAATCTGCAGAGCAAAAACACGTCTAGATGTTGTTGTTGTTGTGCGTTTTGTTTGTTGTTGTTCAAAAGAAGCAGCCAGAAAGTTAGAATCCCAAAACATGAAGCGTCCTGGTTGAAAAGCAAAACAGTCCCACAGCAACCACCACCAACCCCAAAACAAGAGATGTTATGATGATAGAGGGGGACGATGGGGGAGTCAGGACCAGGATCGGGGCTCTCTTGGTGCTTTCATGTGAATGTGAGACTTTTTAAAATGTTAAAATGGAGAAAAAGCAAAAAGCCGATTAAAGTCGTGGCTCCAGTGCTAAGGGCCGCTCCCCAAAAATCAAATAAATCAGATTATTATTCACTGACTGGTTCATAGTCCAGTTGGTTGTGTTGAAATCCAAACAAACTAATGTGTTCATTTTTTTTACCACATCCACTGGCTGACTTCTCACATGCATGGCAGCACACCTGAAAAAAGGCTCTAAAGCAGGGGGGGGGGGGGGGGTCAAGATAGCACACGAGTGTAGACAATACAATACCTGACTGATCTGTGACTCCTACATAGACACAAAGCAACATGAGAGAACAAACGGAAATTAACACCAACAAATGTGCCGAGGTGGAATTTACAAAAGAACAGGATTTTAAAGATTTTCACTTCTGTGTCGTCGGTTTCCACGGCAATAGTGACATAAAATACGAAAATTTCACACATCTAATCAATTTCCTTCTGTTCTTTTGAAATTCCAGAAACATGTAAAATGGCTTCACAACGGAATAAAATCATGTTAAAAACCTGCTGAAAACAGAATAAGAAGTTTAATGGCTGATTAATATATTGTTAAATGATTTTAAAAATGATTTTAAATAAATACAAATGTGGAAACTGACCAGTTTTTGCTCAGATTTTGTACTTAAGAGAAATAAAATATTAGAATACAAACATCGATTCTGGACACACGAGTCTTTAGATTTGACTTTTGCTACAAACTTTAGTTCTCTACTGCTTTTAACTTTAATAAATCTGGATGAGAATCTGCCAGTTTGTTCTAATTCAAAATCCTCACAACTTCATAAAATATATATAAAAAAATTAGGTTTAGTTTATTTATATAGCACCAAATCATGACAAAAGTCATCTTAAGACCTAAACACTCCAATTGAGTTCAGTTTATTATATCAATTAGTTAAAGGTTTCCTATATAAGGAACCCAGCAGATTGCATCGAGTCACTGACTTGTTGTGTGAGAGACTTTACAGCTATCCCGGTACTAAACAAGCATGTAGCGACAGTGGAGAGGAAAGCTCCCTTTTAACTCATTCACTGCCAATGACGACTAAAGTCTTCATTTGCATTTTTTACTGTTTGAGCATTGGAACGAGCTCCCGCGCTGAGAGAACAAACATCTGAGCCCTGAAGCCGATCTTCTTCCGCATACGTCACAGATCACATGATCAGGAAGCAACACATCCATGTGTTTGGAGATCGTTTTGGGCCGTTCCTGTAAAAAAAGTGAGGCGCGAACCGGAAGTGGCTGCCGATCACAATTTGACAACGGATTATGAAAGAACGGATAACGCTCGAAACACGCGGCTTCTTCCTGATGTAAGAGGTGAGTCTCCTCTTTGTTTTGGCATCGACATCATGCTAGCGCGCAACGTTCTGTGACTCTTAAAAAAACTGTAAAAACGGTGAGAAACGCTGGCAGCGAAGGCCGTTAGTGATCAGGAAATGGCTGGCAGTGAGTGAGTTAACAGGAAGATGCCTCCAGCAGAACCTGGGTGCGTGTGAGCAGGCATCTGCTGGACTCGAGTTATTATGTTACACAACACAAGAGAGGAAATGCTCTGATGAAATGCATACTTGTCCATCCTTTCACTGTTCTGTCTCCAGTGGGTCATGTCCTTCCTCCATCTGAGGTTTTCTTGACTCCCAAAAGCACTGCCAGATGGACTCCGCTCTAAACGGTGGAGAAACACTGTTTAAGTTTCATGGCTGTGTGGAAACTGGACATCATTTGCAAGCAGGATCATTTCTGGTTTATTTCCACGTGTGTGTACCCATTACTACCTGGATCCGTGCATGCACATGTGCTAAAGTGTGTGGACCCACCTAGCTGTCCCCTGCTGCGCCGCACCATTTCCTGTCTGGCCCCGATGCTGCCCAGTATGGCCTCCTCCAGCTTGGCCTTCATGTCTTTGGACTTTTTAAAGGTTAAGCTGTTCATGCGTTCAAATGCCTTCTTTCCCTGCATGGTGAACACAACATGGGCCTTGTATCCATGACGACGACGATAAGAGGATAAACAGAGAGCACACGGTGGGGAAATTATTTGCAGCACAGCAAGCAGTTAGTAGCGTGAAAGCACAGATGCACACAAAAGACAAAGCACAGTGGGGAATCTTTGAAGTGTAAAACATAGACAAGTAGAGAAGGCAGCAAATCATCTATGTAAACGTTTTTATCCCCAAAGCAGCCAGAGCACAAAGACTGATCCGTAGGAAAGAGGAAAACGTACAAGCAATCATTCGTTTAAGTAGTTGATGCCAAAAGAAAATCTCATTTTATCCAAAATAATTTATTTAGAACAAAAACTGAAGATACCCAAAAGTGTTTTTCTTTTTAACAACTCATTACTCCTACCTTGTACTCAAAGCAGGAGACGCAGAGGTAGAGGAGGTCCAGCAGGCGGTTGAGCTGAGACACGGACAAATCTGTGAACCATTTCTGTAAAACCAGCTCATCTGCGTTCTTCAGAACCCACAGCAGACAGATCAGCAGACTGCGGCTCGACTCGGCCGAGAAGCTCCCATGCTGGCGACTCGCCTGGCACGATCAGTCAGGAAGTAAATAAATGTTGGGCTCAACTCCAATATCACAGCAGATGGTTTTCATTACGTCCGGTCAGGAGCAAAAAGGCTACCTGCGAGTTGAGCAGGAAGCTGCTTGGTCGGGACATCGGAGATGCAGTGGAGGTGCCTGCTATTGCCATGGCAACAGTCTGATTGATCATACTGTTGCCCTCTCCTTCCGTTTCCTCTCCTCCGCTGCTGACTGCTGCACCCTGGGGACAGCCGGGCCGGCCCCACTGGTTATGGGCCTCTAAAAACCCAATTAAAGAAAACAATCATTAACTGCATAAAGCTGGGCGTACACTGTGCATCTTTTCACTGACACCATGTTCAGTGACACTGTGTTCAGCTCCATCTCCAACTGTACAGCTCATGAGTCATGTTTTCATGCTGCATGACCCAAAGCTCGGATATGGGTATGCCTCCTCTCACGGTATGTGTGATAGCAACACGTGGGACCTAAAACTAGGCTACAAACAGCTTTAAAGCAACACATCGAACATTTGAGTCCAAAAACCCAGTGCATTTAACATAATGCTGCACTTAAGAAAATGGGTTGAAATATAACATGTTGGTGGAGCTGGGTTCCGACTATCGGCTTGTGGAGCTCTCGGGAGACCGATGTTTTCCACCCTCATCCCCTCCCCGCAGCCCGGTCCATCTCTGTCTGATCGCGGCTTCTGTTAGCTGCGCGGGCTGACGGCTGGTTCTTATGGCAAGCCAGAACCACCAAAATACGCCACTTCTCCCCGCAGCTCGGCGCATCTCTGTCTGATGGCGGCTTCCGTCTGCTGCGCGGGCTGCCGGCTTGTGGAGCTCTGGGATGGAAACCTTTCCACCCGGTTCTCCCCAGCGGCAGCTCTGCGCATCTCAGATCGCAGCGGCGCTTGTGGAGGTCTCCGACACCTCTGTGTTCCACCCGGTTTTACCCAGCGGTCAGCCCGGCGTATCTCTGACTCAGAAGCTCTGGTGTTGTGCACAGTTAACTCCAGTTGTAGCTAGGTTGCTACCTCCGTTAGCTTAGCTCCCACCTCCGCATTAGCTTTGGGTTAGCTTCAGGTTAGCTTGTAGCTAGTTCGACCGGGTGTCGTCAGTTGATCCCAGCCTTACAGCCCCACCCTCAGCTCCACCGCTCTTCCCTTTTATGGAATTGTCTGGGCTTGACGGAACCTGTGACACGGTCAAAATGGCGGTGGTGGCCACTTCCCATTTTAGCAGAAAAACTTGTTATTGGAGCCTATGGGAACCCATTGTCCATATATTTATGTCGATTTGATGGTCCAAACAGATCGGACTGGCAACTGCAAAGCTGCAAGTGGGACATTCTGGCCACAGGGGGTGATCGTGGCTGGGTGGCTTTTCATTAACCCTGTAAATGGTCATTTTAGCACAGACTGACAGAAGAAAGTCCTTTAAAAATATGAAAAAGGTGCAAAGTATCCCTTTAATTGCTTTTTGTACGCCCGGCTTAGCTGGATTCAAGGCGATAAAGACAAGTACCTCAGAAAGGTTTTTAAAACACAAAACCTGAAGTAAAAACATTTTAGGGCAGATTTGTATGGAAATGTAAACAGTTAAAAAGACACGAGTTCGTTAAAGACTAACTGGAACATTCTGTTACAGATCAGCGTCCTTTGAAGCTCAGCTGATAACCTCGAAGGTCACAGGGGGACGCTGTTGTTTTAAGTCTAAATATAACTGTCTGGATCCACTTGTTTGACATCTTTGTTTGGGGGATCTAGTCTTTACTTATTAACCAGCTTCATCACAGCGGTAAGAAAATAAAATTTGGATTTCTAAAAGCTTTCTAATTCTTATTTTAAATGCCATCAATATTCTTCATTCAAAAAGGTAAATATGTACAGGAAACTATAGGTTAGTGTAGAAAATCACAGTGGTCATGCCGACCCCAAACAGAGCAGATAAATGACGTATTTTTAAACCTGTTTGCTATTTTTTGTGAAATGCAGCTTTGAACTTGTACCTGTAAAGTCATGAAGCTGTGGCAGCGTCTCCATGACGATGCCGATGAGAGGCAGGTAGAGCATGGCGACCCGAGCCTTGACCTCGGGGTCAGCGTAACGAGGGTCGGAGTCGTGGCTGGACAGGAGGTTGTGAACAACACTCACCACCTTCTTATGGAGACCGAACATTCTACAATGCAACAGACAAAAGCAAAAAGGACACAAAGATCTGAGTTTTTCTCTCAAGTCATCACAGAATCAAACTAGTGAACTCTGCTAACGTACTAACCCTTCATTATCTGGGTCCAGGATGACCGACAATTCAGACAGAACTAGTCCAGCCAGATAATGCTGCTCTCTGAATGGAACGCACAACTCAAACATGTTGGCTATCTTTTGGTCCTGAACATGAGTGGAGAAGCCGGAGCTCTGGACGAGACAAGAAACAAACATCCATGATACATTTGTTTATGATCAGCTTGTAACTAAAGTAGACTGAGATTGAGATTTTCTTTGGTTCTGACCTGTGAGGTCGCTGAAGACACCGATGGGGAAGGCGAGGCAGGTGGGGTCAGCAGACTGCAGGGGAGATTCAGGGTGACGTAATGTTCGTGACTAGAGACTATCCTTAAGAAATCGAGCCTCAGAGATTCTAGAGTTGGGTTCTGCAAAGCGTAAAGCTTCGTGGAGACCTAAACGGAGAAAGTGGACAGTGATTAGATCCTATCACACTGATAACAGTTCTAGACAATTTAGTTTATTTATTTAGCGCCAACTCACAACAAGAGTTGTCTCAATACTTCCCAAAGTAAACACTCCAACTGAACCTACGTATCAGTCTATTGACTTTGTTTTATTGCAATTAGTTAAAAGTATCCTACCGGTATGTACGAAAACCCAGGAGATTGCATCAAGTCACAGACTTTACAGCAATCCTCATACTAAGCAAGCATGTGGCGACTGTGGAGAGGAAAACTCCCTTTAAACAGGAAGAAACCAACAGAACCTGGATCAGTCTGATCAGCTGTCTGATGTGATCCACTGGGGGTTTGAGAACATAGAGTACAAACACATTTCAGGGTTTCCTCTGAAAGCGTGCTAAGCCCGATGGTAGAGAAGCCCACGGGCGACCCAGTGCTTCTGTTAAAAAAAAATGTCAGGAAGTTTAAAATAGATTTTTTTAAGCAGAGAAAAAAAAAATGTGTTTGTGTTTGAAAATCCAACTTCAAGTAGAAATGTTAATAATTTCTACTGCTAACAATATAATGGTGTCATGTTTTACTAAATATACACAGATTGGAAATAATCCAATCTAAAATTATGTTTATGTTTATTTATTTAGCAGACGCTTTTATCCAAAGCGACTTACAATTTATAACCTATAGGGCATGTTGTGATCTGTGGGGGAAACTGGAGTACCCGAAGGAAACCCACACATGCAATGGGGGGAACACGCAACTCCACGCAGAAAGGCCACAGCCGAGTTTCGAACCTGCAACCTTCGTGCTGCGAGGCAACAGTGCTAACAACTGCGCCACCATGCAGCAATGTAGATTCATAGATAGATCTGTTGGTAAACGACATACTACAAGGGCCTGCCGTAGCATGCAGCAACGCTGCATGACTCCAGGTTTTAGCTGTGGGTCTCCACACCGCTGCGGGCTGCAGCCGTCTACAAAAACAGGATGTTGGGGGTTTTACTTTCACTTGTAGAGTTTATTCAGTCATAGTTTAATGTGAACACAATGAACATGTTTTTCCGGTCCCTACTAGGAGTGGAATTAATAGCGAGCTAATCCATTAGCATTAGCATACCTGGTTGTGGATTCTCCCCGAGGCTGGCTGAAGACAGCAGGTGTTGTGCGCCAGTAAAATATGCCCGTGTAAATTAGGAACAAAGCCTCAAATCAGTAAAATAAATAATTTGAGGAATTTTTTATCGAACGATTTGAGTATGTTTCAGTGTTAAATTTGACATTTTAAATATTAATTTGGTGCATTCAAAATGACTTAAAATAAGTTAGTAAGTGATGCTTGGGCTGGCGGGGGTCAGGGAAGACCGGCAGCCCCGCCAGGCTTATAAAGAGTTGGCAGAAATCCTGCATTTGTATGAATTGGTGTTCCTATGGCTGCTTACGTTGCAATTTCCTGATAGTAAAAACAAAGTGTAACCGGTGACTAGTTTGTAGTTTACTTAAGAGCTCTGAGTTCTCAGACAGTATGTGATCTGCAACGCAGAGTTATAAATATACCTGTTTCCAGTAAGTTCTGACGAGTGTGAAGACAAAGCCTCGGTCCATGACTGACAGCAAGTCGTTAAGAAAGAAAGCCAAGCTTGTGTTTAGCCTCTCCACCAGCTCCAGATCCTGAATGGAAGAATTAAAAGCCTTAAATCTGTTTTCCAATCTGCTTTAAAAAAAAAGGCAAAACATTATTTTGCCATATTCTGACAAAGAAACAAACACAAATCAACAAAAACACTATTTGGATCGTTTTTTAATGGTCTTGTGTTTTCCAAGCTTCTGAGCAGCTGATAATAATAAGACTGCAAGCCAGGCGACACCTTGAGATAATCTGGTCTTTATTCACCTTCTGGAAACGAGACACGATGTCACCAGCGATGGTGCTGACTAGAGCTGTGATGTCATCCATGAAGCGCTCGGGAAAGCGATTCTTCCTGGGTGACTCCAAGCGGTCAGCAAAATAAAGATGGTGGATGATGCTCTTCACCTGTGGTAGGAGTGTTCATCAGGAGGAAACACCAAATAATGTCATGAAAAAATAAATGAATAAATAAACTGTTATCACGTGAAACACAACCACAAAGATTTCGTTTCCTACCATGAGTTCAAAAAAGAACCAGGCCTGTTGCAGAGCCCCTTCGCGGACGCTCCCACTGCTCACTACCCACTGGAGGGCCAACTCCTCGTGGAAGAGCTGAGCAGCAAATTCAAAACACACGGAGACCCCGAGATGGAGAGGGAGAAGTCAGACGAGAGTCAAACGTAAAGCTACAAAACCAGATGGACTAAACCACGAGGTGCCTGAGAAAAAATCCCTGTCTCTACCGGCATCAGTAATAATTATATATATATATATATATATATATATATATATATATATATATATATATATATATATATATATATATACATATATATATATATATATATATATATATATATACATATATATATATATATATATATATATATATATATATATATATATATATATATTCAAGTGATTTATAATGAAATTGACTGATTTAGAAAATAAAAACTCAACTCCTGGTCTTATAAACCTAAATGAGCTCATTATTCCTTTTGAAAACAAAAATATGTATCATCTACAAAAGAAAACTAACATTTCTACCCTCCAAACTCTGAAAACACATTTACCTGATGGGTTAGGTGTTTAATTCAGTAAATTGTCTATTGAAAATTATCTAAACAGCCAAAGAATGATGATTGCATTGGTTATTAAACATGCATTTTCATCCGTTTCCAGTCTGAAGTAAGGCTGTAAGGCTGAAATATGTTGCTTTTAAACAGATGAATAAAAGATCAAATTTGTTTTTGAGCCAAAAGAATTGATTGCTCATAGTTTTCTCTGCATAATGAGCAGACATAACTTTTGTCCAGACCAAATCCATCACTAACATCCAGTATAGTCCAACTGTTGTCTGGAAAGTCTTCTATAGTGGTCATAAGAAAAGGAAAGCAGCATAAGATAAAATGTTTAAAAGACATTTAAAGTTTTAAGACCACAACAGTGGCAGCTTTTTATATTTAATAAAAACAATTAGTTTTTTTAAAGCAAACTGTATCTGTATGTTAAAGGTATAATATGGAACATGAACACCAAAGTGACATCTAGTGTGTGGAGGTCGTAGTTGCAACAACAGAACAAGGTTTCTAGTGGGGATGAGCGAGTACACCGCTATCTGTATCTGTACTCGGAGTGGGCGTGGCCTAACCCGGAAGTGGGTGTGGTTTACATCAATATGTTATTTTAAGTCTGATCAGAAGTGGCTATGTGTATTGTTTATTTGAAAACTATTTACAGAGCAGCCTCAGAGTTGAGATTAAATGTTTTTGATCACAATAGTAAAGGAACTATTACAGAACAAGTTTTTCAATAAAATCAGAGCATTAATATTTAAGTGCATGAATTAAGAGAGGGAAAGAAGAAAAGATCTTTTCTATAGCGCCTCTCAAGATAAAAATCACGGGGCGCTTCACAAAAACAAAACATGTAAAATAGAAAAAAGAATTTAGAAAATGATTAAAATATATTTAAATGAGCAAAAAATAGACAATTGTGATTAAAAAATGTAAAGAAAGAGAGAGAGTGAATAGGAAAGAGGGAGTGGATCCTGAGGAAGAGGAGAGAGAGAGAGAGAGAGAGAGAGAGAGAGAGAGAGAGAGAGAGAGAGAGAGAGAGAGAGAGAGAGAGAGAGAGAGAGAGAGAGAGAGAGAGAGAGAGAGAGAGAAAAACCCCGACCGGAGCGGAGGCAGTGACTGACGCAGCACGAGCCGTTTTCAGCTCTGTCTTGTCAAATGCACCACACACGTTATGAAAAAAGTAACTTTAAATGACTTTAAAGTAACTTTAAAAAGAAGCAAACTGAAGAAAACCTAGGGAGTACTGAAGAAACGTGAACAGTGAAGCAAGCACAGAGAGATCCGTTACTGTCTGTGTGCATGGATGGACCGGACGTGGACTGAGCTGTGAGCTTCCGGTTGCAGAGTTTTGTGTGTAGGGAGGGGAGGGCGCTCTATTTGACTGGCCAATCACAGAGCGTGAAGACAGTCAGTTACCCAATGAGGATTTTCCTTCAGCACGATTACAGATATTTACGAGTTTTACTCGTTTCATGCTCGTTCTTGTCAAAAATGCTTTATCCGTACCGGATACTCGTCTGAAACGAGTATCCGGCTCATCCCTAGTTTCTAGCCGTCGGGATACCAGGGTCGCTGCCGATACGCGACATTGTTTATTTGGGTCCATCAGTTGTGGGCTTCACCTAAACTCCCTCTGCTTTTAGATCTTTTATGGCCGTTCCTCTTCTGAGAAGGACAGTGACATCTCCTGGGCTCAGAAGCAGCAGCTTGACTTGCTGAGTCGAGCTGATAAATGTAAACATAAGCCCAGTGTCGAGCTGTCAAAATAAATAATTGACTATTTATGTAAAATATAGCTTTTAAAGGAAATACTGTACCTTCACTCAGCACACCTCTAAACGCCCAGTGGAGGTATTATTTCTTTAAAATATAACTTTTTATTAAATTGTTCCATATTCAACCTTTAAAAGCTCTTGAAAAGAAATTCTCCTTTCCTTTTTTCATTTCCTTTCTCTATTATTTCCTGCTTGAGCATTTCGTGTGGGATCAAATCATTTTCCCTTTGAGTGAATTGTGAACTATGATAGAAGACTTCCCAGACTCCAGACACTTTACAGGCAAGTTTAGCCAAATTAAAACAGACATTCAAAGCTTCTCAGCGTTTCAAGAATACATACAGCATTCAACAAAACTGCACAAAAACCCAAAAACAAATACATCAACCAATCCAGTGGCACACATCCACAGACAGTACAGGTGAGGAGGTGAGGAAGAGGAGGGTTGGGTGGGCTCCTCCCCCTCCAGTGCAAGTGGCTCTACCTTTTTAGTGGGTAACCGTCCTGTTAATGTTTGCAAGAAACTGGCGCTCTCAGTGTGCGAAGACATGCGATTGCCACAGCGCTCCATGGCCTATGAGTGGGATGAATGGAACGGTGACAGCAAAGTTAGTGGAGGAGCAACAGGAGTGTGGGGCTACTCCTCAGCACACAGGCAACTGTGTGTGCTGGGTCACATGTGCCCCACACGTACATGCATAAAACACTTTTGTGATTGTGCTGCACAGACAACACAAAACAACTAGACCACTACACGTTAGGCTGTGCCACTAATCTAAAGCATCCTTACCCCCAATGCTTTAGAGAAGAGACGCAGAATGGCTGCATGAGGTCAGTGACTGGGTTTCCTGATTTTACAGCCTGACCATCCCATTCAGCTCCAGAGGGGACACTGGGAAAAATGCCTCCTAACTTTACTTTTACAGGATTCCAATTTGTTTTTGCGACAACCATGGCTGGTTTTGTGAGCTCCTGACTTTTATTTGTGAGATCCTTCGATTGTTTTGCGAGATCCAAACGTTGTTTTGGAAGATCCCAAGATTTCCATTTTTTCTTGGGAGGTTCGGCGTTTCTCACTCATTCTAGATCAGGCATGTCCAAAGTCCGGTCCACGGGCCAATCACAGTCCGCGGTCAGTTTTCATGTGGCCTGTAGTTTCAGTCTAATTATGTATTATTGATGGCTCACTTAGTCTGAATAAATAAATAATGACTTTAAGCTTGTAATTCCACATATTCCACAATTTTTTTTATCTGCTACTTCATTTAAGACGCCTACCACCACCAACAGTAGAATAAATAAATAAACAAATAAATAAATAAAGCCATCAGGACCAGTGACGCGCGACCCGCACAAACACATCTCGTCTGGAGGTCTACTCAGTGACGGGAGACCTCCAGACGGCTCTTCCCCGCTCGTACAATCCAAACCAAATAAGCCAGCCCGACGGGTCGGATTTGGGTCGATTACTTGAGCGAGATTGATCAAGTTGCAGCTCAGATCCCCGATTCTGTCGACTTTGATCTCAGCGGCTGCGGCTGCAGGTGGATGAAGATGCACGCGCCTCTAAAGATGACTGGGTAACATCGGTTATACAGACCTGGTTTCAGAAAAACATCCTCAGAAGAATCATCTGGGCGACAGTAAAGTCCTGCCTGCGGTAGCAGCTCGTTAACGCAAATTAAATTCTGTTTGCTTACGAACACGTGATGAACACAGGCTTCCAAACTCTGGACATCTCCTGTGATTTAGTTCTAACAAACAGTTTCCGCGGATGATCTCGTTTAGTAATAAAACAGGACTGCGAACGCTTCCTCTCTCTTTCCGTCTGCTCTGTGTTGCGCACAGACTGGCGGAGAAAAAAAAGACTGCAAAAGGCAGGAAAAAGGATAACTTTAATATCGTCAGCAATAAATGAAGCAAAGCATAATTTATCTGCAGTTATTCAACAATGAATCAAAACCCAACTTTCATGAGCAAAAATCCCATAAAAAGTATTCAATGAATCAGGAAAGGAGGAATAAATGTCATTTCTGTTTTTACGTTTTTTACTTCAGTTCAAACCATTTGGAATTTTGTGCTTTCATCACATTTTGCTTTTATTTAATTAAAAACACCTTCAGCTTTATTCATTTTATGAGAACATTTGTTTTGCATAACCTGTTAAAAAACTTTAAAACACCCCCATCACCCCAGATCCTCTCCGTCTGTCGCCATCAGAGCTACGTCAGAGCTGAGGACAAGGTAGACATGTGGCTAAACATGTCTCAGTCTTTGCCTCTTCACAGGAGCAGACACTTGTTAGCAGAAGGTAAACAAACACGTTGTTACTCTGAGTTAAAACCATCTCAACTTGATAAAAGAATCAGGTGTGTCTGAGCAGGGACACGTAGAAAACATGCAACCACTGTGGCCTTCAAGGACCCGGCCTGCTCCCCCTGATATACAGCACAGATTGATCGTACTTCTTTGAATGCTCAATGTGAGTATGTTTAGATACTTTAATATACATTCTAATTTATTAAATTACTCAGCTGGATTATTTTCCTCCACAATGTGCATCAGGATGATGCTTCTAAATCTAAAATGTCCAAAACTACTGGTACTTTCCTTTGCAGCAGGTTTATTTGCTGGGTAAGATGTGCAGTGTTGGGAAAGTTACTTTTAAAAAGTAATTAGTTATAGTTACTAATTACTTTGTCAAAAAAGTAGCTCAGTTACTGAGTTATGAGATTATAAAAGTAACTATTACCAAGAAAAATAACTACTTAATTACTTTCTTCATTAAAGAATGCTAGAAAAATGGGTTAATTGAACTTACTTAATTTACTATAAATTACTACAATAGTGAAATATAAATGTCTAATGACTGGAACATAATAAAATGTATGTCAAAATGTTTTTTATCAACCTGAATAATTTAAATAAGTAAGCACTTAACAGGAGGAACTACTAACAGGAACATTTCACTTATCTAGACTATTAAAAGGTCACTGTGAGATATTTAACAAGACCCCAATCAGCTACAATTTAAAATTGCTAATAGAAACACCTGTAAAGGTTCCCGAGCCCTTACATGGTCTCTCAGTCTAGTTAAATTACAAAAAAGAATGTAAATTTGCACAGTATTTTAATTTTTCCAGCTTCACATAATTGTCTGTTTTTAGTAGCATTTCTGTTGCTGCTAATCTAGTAACGGTTAAATAAATAAAATCCTTTAAAATGACACTAGAAGAGGCACAAGCCTGATGGAGGGCTTACATTTACTAACTTGGGTCAGACCCAACCATAGAAGAGCTGAAGCTGGGTGGTGAACACACACAGGTAGTTCTGATAACACCTGAGCTCCATGACGTCTGAGACTGATGCATCAGTGTTACAGCGGGGCTAAAGACACGATCAGAAACAGGTTACAGCTGGATGATCTAGGAGGGTAGAAGATCAGGACGTCTGTGTTCTGAACAGGTGCGCGGACCTTCAGGACGTCACGCCGTCACGCTGCAGATCCACACCTGCAGCCGTAGACTATTCATCACGTCTTCCTCGTTCTTCGCGGCCGTGATGCTCTTGGATGAAACATCTGCCTTTTTAGCTCCTGATCAGCTGATGACAGCTTCAACACACCGCGCTGCTTAACGCACGCTTTTTCTTATCAGTAACAGAAACGACGTTTTGATAAAAGAAGACGGTAATTAATTAGTTTGCTCGTTACTGAAATACATTTTTTAGTAACGCGGTTGTTTTAAACAGCGTCATTCCCATCACTGAAGATGTGTGCATGTGTGTGCGTGTGTGTGTGTGTGTGTGTGTGTGTGTGCGTGTGTGTGTGTGTGTGTGTGTGGTGTGTGTGTGTGTGTGTGTGTGTGTGTGTGTGTGTGTGTGTGTGTGTTAGCGGCCACTTTCCCCAATCTGGGGTAGCCGAGCTTGCGTGTGTGTGGGCGTGGTCTGTATAAAGGTGTACTTCAACACAACTGTCCTGGAGAAAAACTGGGTGACTTACTGACCAGAGCTTTAATGGTTTAGCATTTTTCATGACTTGTTGTTTTTATTTAGTTTTGATTTCAGATTTTTAAATCTATTTATAATTGTTCTTCATTATATTTTCATGTAACTTTGCCTTTGACAAACCTTTGAAAAGCTCAGAATGAACCATTGGCCCTGGGCATCTTCACTTTAGAAGGTTTGGACACCCTGCTCTAGATGGTTAGCAGAGGTGATCACAGATATTGTGATTGCTACGTAGTTACCAATATAATTACGTGTTTTGGTGGAGCAACGTTTTGTTACAAATGTATTTGCATCTGTTAATATTGTCTGGCAGCATGTTAAATAAAGTTTTGTCACGTTCAACTAATACTTCTATTGTACTTTAATAGTTAAGTTAATGGAAAACACATCAGTGATGCTGTATTCGGACAAGAGCAGGTCACTTGTTTGAGTTCTTATTCTTTTATTGAATTTCACGCTCTGGACAGCTTCACCGGCTCCTCTGTTGGTCCATCCAAATGGCCGAGAGAAGTCTAACGGCCAGTGAAGCTGTCTGGTAGTCAGCTGGTCTTGCAAAAGCAATCAGGATCTCGCAAAACAAGCTTGGAATCGTGCAAACCAAATACAAGATCTTGCAAAAATGACTCTGGATCTCACAAAACGCATTAAGGATCTTCCAAATCAAAACAAGGATCTGGTAAAACAAACTCAGGATTTTGCTAAAGAAATTTTGCAGAATGTGTTTTTCCCCTATGCCCCTTCAGGGCTCAGAACCATTCTGTATCCCTCCAGGTAAAAACAGTACTGCAGAGACACAAAACTAGAAAAGGAACACTACTCTACATCTCTGGGGGGGTTTAGTACTAGCTGTGATTTTATGATTGTACTACAACTTTGTTTGTAACTTGATGTGTTCATTTCTAACAATGTCTAACAGCATAACTCTAAGGCCCTGTCCACACGTAGCCGGGGATCTGCCAAAACGTAGATATTTTTCTACGTTTTGGCCTGTCGTCCACACGAAAACGGAGTTTTTTCACACGGAAACGGATCTTTTTAAAAACTCCGGCCAAAGTGAAGATCTGCGTTTTCTCCGTTTTGGGTGTCTGCGTGTGGACGGACAAAACCGGAGTTTTAAGGTCCGCAACGTCACTTTCCGCGACAAAAAAATGCTGACATCACGTGTGCGACCTGTGTTTACACTAGCCGACAGCATGGATGCCCTCAGAGCTGCGCTCGCTTTATCAATTGTCCAAGCGCTTTTTGCTTGTTTGTTTTTGCAAGCGGAATTACTGCTCCTTGCGGAAGACCACAGACGAAGGACGAGGTTAAGAACGGGGGAAGTACTGCCGCCTACAGGTCTGGCATGTCCATAACAACGTATTTATCCGGGTACGTGTGGACAGAGTTTGTTTTAAAAACGAGGTGGTGTGGATGCAAGTTTTTGGAGGGGCGGATATTCGTTTAAAAAAAAAAACCCGGCTACGTGTAGACTAGGCCTAAATGACTGAGGACAAATGAAGATGTACAGCTAAGAATAGACCTCATACGCTTCGATACACATTCACACTCACAAATATACCAAGCTCTGGAGACAAACTGGATTATGTGACCTTAGCAAAGAGTCATGCATTTAAACAGGTTGAGAGGAGAGCAGAAGTACAGACAGGAGCGGAAACGGGTTCTAACACTACAATCAAAACAATCTCCTCTGAAATGGAGAGAGAAAAGGTCTTGGTTTAAAATGTAACAATAACTAACCACTGTACTGAAACACACAGTGGGGGGTAAACAGGATAAGGAAAGCAAGCCATGGGTAACAATCACCAAATAAATGCATTGCAGTATCAGGAGCTACATGACTTTACATGCAAGTGCTGAGAAAAAGAGATGTTAGATGTGATGAGCAAATGGCTGACATTGGAAACCTTTTTCACACGTGGCAATAATATGTCTAGGATGATCCAATTAAACGTGCAAACCTCGTATTTTTACACGAGTCTCCATTAGTCTCGTCATTATTTCTCTGCAGGGACCTAGTTCTGCAGGTTTGTGGCATCATACCAATAAAGGCTGTCGGATTTATGAGAAAACACAACCGTGCCTGGTTATGATTTTTGTGTTAAGCAATTGAGATGAGTCAAAGTTGCCCAGACTTTCTCTGAATTAGATCTTAATGTATTCTTAGTACATTCTATGCATATTCACATCCACAAGTTCGGTCCACTTAAAATCGGATCACCTAAAACACACTGGTATTGTGTGTGAACAAGGCCCAATGTGGAAGCAGAAGGGTCATGGAGGTGGCTGTGACTCCCATGACAAGGTTTATGGGAGGACTGTGATATTAGGGTAAGGAGAATGCTGTAATAATCAGGAGTTTTGGTCTTTTGTGTTACATTAAAAAACTATTTTCTGTCTTATGTGTAGTAAAATAAATGGATTTAAAACCATAGTAATGAATTTTATAGGCTGAGTAAGCAAAATTAAGACAAACATGAGGAAAAAACAAAACATCTAAAAAATAAATGATCGAATTGATCAGAATTTTCAATGTTTTGTGACTCTAGTAAAGCACACTAATAAACCAAAACTCCAAATATTCCAGAATCTGTTCAGTGTGAATAAGGCTGTCTTTGTTGTGAGTCGAAGTGGAGGATGGGGCATTCATTAAACCACCTGCAGGGTTTCTGGAGCGGACCCAGGGCTGGATCCCCAGGGGGCACTACAGCCCATGGTGTGCACCCACGAGTTGGAGCGGTCTAAGCCCTAGGGGTGCCAAGGTCAAAGGACACAAGGCCGGCAGGAAGCAAGGGAACAAGCGAGCAGCACGGAGGGGAAAGGAGGAGGGAAGGAATAATCACAAGTTAACAAAGTTCACAAGTCGTGACTGCTGGAAGATGTCAAGCCCTCCGCACCCCCGAAAATATAGGTCGTCTGTTAGAACGCAAAGTTCAAAAGGTCTTCCTGGTGTGTTTAAAAATAACTCCCCCTCCCAAAGAGACAGGAAACGAAAGGTTTAGTTAAGCATTAGCAAAGAGGGGGCATCCATCAATACGGGGCTGCATCCATCATATAACGGTTAGAAGTGAGGCAAGGCCATTGAAAAAACATGACATCATTCATTCAGTAACGTTTGAAGTGGGAAATCACAAAATACCGATTTCTACAGAGATATCAGAACAAACAGAGCTGACAAACACTAGATCTATACACCTACTGTTATCTTTGAGAAGTTGCCATGGCAACAGCAGAAACTTTAGCAGTTTGTCTGAAGACAAGTGTTTTGTATGTTTTTCACAACCGATAAACAGTGTGTTGTTCATGCATCCCTGTGAGTGACAGGTTGATGTTTCAGCGGTTAGTGATAAGATGTCCAGGCTTGTGTTTACACGTGGGCTATGTAGTTTACATGTTGATTAAACCTCCACTGGGTCACAGTGCACATGCTAGAGCCCTGTGAGGGACATTCGTTTTTAATCGTCATCGCGCCTGCTGACCCTCACACCCCACTACCATCGTCTCTCTCTGTTACTGCAGCACAGTCCCACAAGATCTGCGTTCAACCATGCATGCCTCTGCAGACCCATTCGTTTATTTTTTAAATGACGTACATGTGTAACAGTATCTGTACATTCAGGCAAGCCATTTTTTATAACTTTTTTAAAGGGCACTTTGATAAAGTTTAAGACATTTGTGGCAGATGGCTGCTCAAACTGAGCCAGGATCCTCTGGAGGGTTTATTTGTTAAAAGGGAGTTTTCCTCTCCACTGTCACTGCATGCTTGCTTAGTATGAGGATTGCTGTAAAGACTCGGACACTAGTCAGTGAATTGAATTTAACTGAATTCTATTCTCTAAATGAAAAAGGAATGTGGCCACCTGACAAAAAGTTCTGACCAAAGATTTATCAGAGCTGAAAAATAACATGAATATCAAGATAATTGCTCTGCAGAGAATGAAAGTGAACGTATTCTCCATAAACAAACAACGCAGTACCATTAAACCTGGACTTCCCCATGGCTCACGCACCCACTAGCTAAAGCAGCTAATGGGCATACCCATAAAAAACCTCCTCCCACACACATGCACCCAAATTAATGTTGGTGTTTCTTCTTGTGTCAGTCTTGTTCACACAAATACAAATTCCAATAAAAAATGTGACAGTTTTTTTTATAGACTGACAAATAAAAATAAAGCATTCTTTATTTATCGAGTCAAGATTTAAAGCAGCAATCTGGAGTATTCTCCCTTTCAGGAATTAGCGTATTGACCCGAATACAAGACGAGGGTCTTTTCATTGAAAATAATTTTAAAATGCGGGGTCGTCTAATCGAGGTCTAAGCCTAAACACATGCCGATATTTGTCTGGGGTCATTACACACCCGTAACAGCAGAGGGCACCAGGCTGTATGTTCTCAACAGGATAAAAAAATGGAGACAAGGCATCCGCAGCAGAGTGGACCGAAATGGGGCAAGCTAACAAGCTATAAGGCAAAGTTATGCAAATTTTAAGATTACGGTGGCCAATTCAGCAGAGGCATCAAACATTGCATGCATGAATGCCTTGGATGGCAGCGAGGATGATGTTCTGGGAGGAGTCAGCAGGTGTAGCGAACTGATGGTACACCGGGACAGCAGCAGCACGAGAGTGAGTGAGTACAGCGAGGCAGAGGGCATCTGAATAAAAGCCTCATTTGACTTTTGATTTCACATGTCAGCAAAGTTCTGATAGTTTACATTAAAATTTTATTTTTTCTCAGTATTTGTTCTCAAATGTTCAATAAAAATTGTTTATTTAAAAAGTGATTTTGTTTTTGTCTTTTCCTGAAGATTAGTCTTGGAAAGGGGGTCGTCTTATAATCGGGTTAATACGGTATGCATGATTTTTTTGAAATCCCTAAAAGTGATTCTGCACTGATATAACGCAGGCGTTACGCGTTTTGTTTTGCTAAGCCCGCTCCACATCTTATAGAGCCAATTACATTTGACAGCATTAGCCATTAGTGTTAGACATCCACGTATGTCAAAAAGTAAAGACACTTAGACTGATGCAAAGTTGGCAACATTTCTCAAGGAGAAGTAAGTATAACGGAATCATGGAAGCCAGTAGCGCTGCTTAATGGTGCTACATTTTTCCACCCCAGATGGTGCCTTTTGAGAAAAAAAACTCCAGATTTCTGCTTTAAAGGGGCATTATGGAAGTTTGACAGCCAAAACATGTATAGAAATAATACATTTCTTCTTCATACATTCTCCTGCAATGCCCTGGTCCTGTAGAATGAGCCCTGGCATTTTTACTGTGATTGCCTGTTTTTCTGTAAAATCACAGAAAAAGAGAGATGCTCGGGTCGAGCAGACTGCTTCATGCTCGTTCACGCTCAGGCACAGCGCTCCAAACCGTTCTTTGAACGTTGTTTCAGCTGTCATCAAGGATATAAATGTTACAGATACAAAGGATGTCACTGGTGCTTTAGCTCGCCTAGTAAGACGTCGGACTCTCGTGCAGAAGTCCTGGGTTCGATTCTGGATGTGAACATAGAGTTTCTTTTTTACATTTATGGTATATTTTTTTACAGTAAGATGCCCAAATTTTTTATTGAGACTCGCCGAACGGCATTGAATTCACAGATAAAAATGATGTGGGTTCAACTTTGATTTTGGAACTATTTTTCAAGCAAGGGAAGGGAATGATCTGAGCATGCAGGAGGACTGACCCATCATGAACCTTTGTCAGCTGTGCTGAAGAGAAAGGCACAGAACCAAATTATTTAATTAATTAGCTGCATGTTCTCCTGTCCTCCGCCCCCCCCCCCCCCCCCCCCCCCCCACACACACACACACACACAGGACTGTCTCAGCTGTTATTTTCGTTAAGGAGTGTGCACGTACAGCATGCGCGCCTCGTACACGAGCCTACTATTGAAGCTGCAGTTACGCTTTTGGCCTGAGGGGGCAATCGCGAGCATAAAAATTCAAAACTCCGTAAAGTCCCTTTAAGGATTACTTGTAATTTTTATAGCTTTTAATGACTTAATGATATAATCTGCAGGTATCCTGTATAACATATAACAATACAAAATGCATGTAGTATGTAGGAAATACAAAATATATAAGAAATACGCTTATATTTACAGAACAACACGCTTTTCCTTATAGCAGAGTTTCCATCCTCTGATTTTGTTTTATACTCTGTCTTTTTGTATTCCTGCTCTCAGCCTCCAGCTTCCATACAACCACCCACTCCTGAGAGATTTGTGTTGGGCCCACTACAATCCCAGTCCCACGCAGGGCTCTAGCACACAGAACTAAAACACTTCCCCAGTCAATAAGAGCTACTAGATTACAACAATGTTAAATAATTAACTGTGGTATCTGTCATCCACGTGTGGTGTGGACGAGCCAAATAGTTTCTACGGTTAGGTAATTAAAAAACAGCCATGCTGCTGGCTCTGTGTACTTTAGGACAACATGTAACATTTTGAGTGTGGCTTCTTCCAGACCATGTTTGCTCCCTTCATGGCATCAAGACAAATAATCAGCTTTTACTCTTACCTTGCTGCCAATTATCGAGCGAACCTCGTCATCAGGAGAGGTGGGCGTACCAGAAATATCAGGGTTGCTGTTGCTAAGGCTACGGGAGCGACTGAGGTTGAGGCTGGCTGGTCGAACTGCTGAGCGAGCCATGGTGGCATAGTGAACCGAACCTCCAAGCCCTCCAGGACCTGGGGACAACAAACAAGAAAGGCAAAAATGGATGAGTCATCTGGGATGTGGAGGGTAGCACCACAAGGCTGTGAACCTTCAATTTCATAAATCCTTATTTATCAACATTTTCTGTGTTTTAATTCGGGAATTAACGTTAAATTATTCCAAAAAATATCCAACGTGCAAACGTAATTGCAGGTGTGTATTAGTGGAATATATAGCTACCTGTTAGGGATGAGTTGGGGTCTGTGTTGGGCAGGCGGGAGACAAAACAAATGTAGGAAGGGGGGAAAAAAGGCAAAAGATAAAAAGAAATAGAAGAAAAATTATGGCGAGCCAGTCTAGTGACAGACGAGCAGTGAGGGCGAGCTGGGAAACGGATGCTGTTAACTCAAAAGGTGAAAAAAAGAAGAATAGATAAAGAATAAATAAAAGAGTGACAAGCTCTTTGTTTAATGAGATACCTGGTGATGGTGAGTTGGGGTCTGTGCTAGGTAAGCGGAAGACGTAGTGGATGTAAGAGGACAGCAGACTGTTGCGGCCATGAATGTCCTGGCTGGTGTCCAGGTACTTATGAAGTCGGTTCACTACAGACGCCATCACCTCGAAGGACGCTTGTCCTAGATTCACTAAAACACACACAGAAAGACTCATAATGACTCTAAAACTGACCTGGGTCCCGTGTGCTCTCTGATTTTTAGTTAGAGCAATCCAGAATCTCACCGATCTGCCCAGCAATGACCGGCGGCCGAACCACCAGCAGCACCAACTTGTCAAGCAGGAGGTGGAGGAATCGAACCACCGGCTCTAGCTGGGCCGAGGTGAGTGCTGCAATGCTGGACTTGAGCTCGGTTTCCAGGTTGTTTTCCATGATGCGCATGTCTCCTATCCTGACCGGGAACACGTGCTCATCCAGGGCATGTACCAAGGCAAAGAACTTATCCAGGTACTGGTCCTGGAAGGAGAGATTAGGGGTAAGAAGTGAAAAAAATGACACAAATGTTCTAAGAGACTGCTAAATGTTAAAACAAAGATTAAAAAACTAAATTGTCACAACTAAAATGAATGAAACGAAATCACAAAGTTGAAAAAAGTTAAAGAGGAAAAGTAGAACTCCAGAACTCAGACACTTAAAGTGTACTTGGATCTGCTCATCTGTACTCGTCTCGGGATCGGCAAGTTGGCTCACTGAGTAAAGACCGCAAAACGAACATTACCACAAGAACACGGGAGAATCCAGTAAATCTCATCTGTCCCAAGAGCAGTGATTTATGAGCACATTAGTCCCAGTTAGGCCCCTAGGACCCACAGTCAGACCTCCACACAGCAGCCAACACAGAGATGAAGTAGTCCTCAGTAAATTACTGGCTGGGTCCAATTCACCCACTAACAAACTAGAGTGGACAAGGCCCCACTGTCTAAAAGTACCAAAATTATTTATTTTAACTTGTGGAAAATATTCCCATTGTGGTTATAAATAGCAATACAAATACATTTGATGGGTTTTCAAGCATGGATTTAGATCATAACAGACAACATAAGACATCAGAGGACATACCAGCTCATTAAAACTCGTATTACCTGTGTGTGGATGGTTGAAACAGCCACCAGTTCCACATTAAACACGCCTCGGTGGTTGTCTACCCACTTCATTCCCGGGAGAGGAACCTGAAATACAATACAGAGTAAACGCACGATGAAACGAAAACATACAAGCTCAGACGAGACATCTGTACTGTTTATTAGGATCAAGTAAGAAGGCTGAAGAGAAAAACAGAGTGAACGAATTCCATCCATCCATTTTCGGCCGCTTATCCAGGGTCAGGTCACGGGGGCAGTAGCCTAAGCAGGGAGGCCCAGACTTCCTTCTCCCCAGCCACTGTGGTCAGCTCCTCTGGGGAAATCCCAAGGCCTTCCCTGGCCAGCCGAGAGACGTGGTCCCTCCAGTGTGTTCTGGGTCTTCCTTTAGGTCTTCTCCCAGTTGGACATGCCCGGAAAACTTCACCAGGGAGGCGTCCTAACTAGATGACTGAGCCATCTCAACTGGCTCCTCTCGATGTGGAGCAGCAGCAGGTCTACTCCGAGCCCCTCCCGGATGACCGAGCTTCTCAACCTATCTCTAAGGGAGATCCCAGACACCCGGAGGAGAAAACTCATTTCGGCCGCTTGTATCAGAACAAAGTTCTCCCCAAATATAATTTTCCTTTTAACAAGTTTAGCTTACAAAAGCTTCCCAAGTTGTAATGGATCCGTTTTGTTTCATTCATTAAAACATTCCTCCAAAACATCTAAAATAAAAGCATTATTTCACATCAGCTTCTGGAAACCCGTTCTTACATCAGGGGAGAGGACAGAGTACGACTGCGGTGGCTTCTCCAGAGACACGGGCAAACAGAAGTGGCCTGTTCTCAGGCGTCCGTTCTGTAACATCGGGATCCACTAGAGAAGAAAAAGATTGAGGAAAAAAAAAAAGACAGTTCAAACAGAGGGTTTTTTATTCTTCATAACACGAGTGAGAGAACAAATGCGACCACAGTGCAGTGATAATGTGTGTTTACTGGGGGCGGGGGTGGGGGTGGTTCTTACTGTGTATCCCACAGGGGTCTCCAGAGGTGTGTTCTGCTTCTGCTGACAACTGACATGGTAAAAAGTGAAGAGGATGTGGTGGTGGTCTGACAGAGAGGCGGGCAGCTTAATCTTGATCTCGTCATGAAAGTCAGGGGATCTGCAACAATTGGTAAAAAAAAAAAAAAAATGTAAAAACCTGCTTTACAAGCTGATGGGAGTGGAAATCCGCCCAAATAACTAATTTGTTTTAGTGGAGCCCGTCTACAGACATGGATTTTTCTTGTTACGTATGCCTACCTCTAAAAGGCAGGGTTACCCTGAATTATCACTGTAGTTATGCTGCTATGAGAGCTTGGGCTACTGGAGGACATACTGACCATTTACCACACTCTGCTACTTTTCTCTTTGCCTAGAGATCTCTACGGACAGTTGCCGAAGCAAAATGGCTTTGCTCTGCATATCAGTCTAGCCACGCTCTACAGGAGCCAATGCAGGTCTACCATTGGCCTGAGCACTATTGTGTTATAGCAATCAAAGCGCTCTCATCAGTTTGGTAGGCAGGATGATGTGAAAGGGCAGAACAACTTTGATGCTGGGGGCTCGTTTGAAACAGCTTTGGCGTCAGCTTTGGACCATTTAGACTTGGGCTTTTCTTTGAGCCAAGAGCAGATAGAGGTACTTAAGTCCCCTCCGTGGGCTGCCACCTTACTGTGCTGGGGGGTTTGAATGTCCCAATGATCCTAGGAGCTAAGCTGTCTGAGGCTTTATGCCTCTGGTAGGGTCACCCATGACAAACACGACCTAGGTGAGGGATCAGACAAAGTGCAGCCCATACGTCCCTTATAAAGAACAATACAAATAGAAACAGTGTTCCCTCGCCCGGACACGGGTCACCGGTAGGGTTAGGCATCGAGAATCGTTTGGAACCGGGACTAAAATTCCTGGGCCACTTACTTTGCTCAGGTGATTGCCATAAATAAAAAGAACTCTAAAGTCCTGTTTGACACCAAAAACCAGATTGTTTCACCTCACGTCCCTCTTATGCCAGTTTACTCAAGGTTCCACTAGGAACCGATAGGGATAATAAATAAATTAATAAATCATATAAAATTCTTACAACACGCAATGTTGAGATTTATTATTTCTTTTTTTTATTATTTAGCCTGTTGAGAGTTTTAAATCTGTTAGATTGTTACTGACAGCAGCTACATTTAAGTTTCAGTTTCCCTTCTGACTGAATCGTTGCTGCAGCTTGTAGATGTCGATTCTCAGTCATCCTGAATACGTTTATCCTCAGTTTTAGTTGAAAACAGCTGGACTTTTCTGGTTATGTTGAAGACATTTTGCCTCTCATTTTAGAGCAGCGGCACTCAATAGGCAGCCCAGTGGATGTCGCCTGTGGTCACAAGCTTTGGGTAGTGACCAAAAGAACGGGATCGCAAAATGAGTTTTCTCCGCAGGGTGGCTGGGCTCTTCCTTAGCGATAGGGTGAGAAGCTCTGTCATACTGAGCTGCTCCTCCCGGTTGAGAAGTGCCAGTTGAGGTGGCTCGGGCATCTGGTCAGATGTCTCCTGGACACCTCCCTGGTGAGGATTTCCAGGCACGTCCAACTGGGAGGAGATCCAAAGGAAGACCCAGGACACGCTGGAGGGACTATGTCTCTCAGCTAGCCAGGGAACACCTTGGGATTCCCCCCGGAAAAGCTGGTCCAAGTCACCGGGGGAGAGGGAAGTCTGGGCCTCTCGACTTAGGCTGCTGTCCCCGCGACCCAACGCGGGATAAGCGACTGAAAATGGATGTATTTGCATCTCCTTGAACGGTGTATGGTGACGGACATCCGAAGCAGTCAGCACATCTCATTGTTTGCAAAGACAACAAATTGAAAGACAACCATAGATCCTGCCCCACGACTGAGATCCGTCTATGGCTCATGGCCAGACTAATATATTCACATATATGACGGCTTGCCAGGCTTACCTTCCTCTACCATTACACTCAAATTGCATTACTTCCTGTTATTTCAGCTGTTAACTATGTTTTCTCAAAGCTACACCAAATCTAACGTTCCGCAAAGCTGTGATGCCGTCCTGGAGGGAGTCATCGGCTGGCATACTACTGCCAACCTCTGAACATTCTCCCTCTCCTGATACTCACTTTTTACTTTCTTTAACATAAAAAGTACAGAGGGTATGGAAAGTACTCTGTACTCACTACGGCTGTCAACTGTGCATTTTATTCCTCATTAATGTATGGACAGCACCCCATTTATGCAGATGAGTTAAAAAAGAAAAACTGAAATATAACTTTTAATAAATCTGCTTTAATTTCTTAAATTCTGTCCATATGGGGTGTTGTGTGTACATTAATGAGGAACATTTTTATTTAATTGATTTTAGCAAATAGCTGCAATACAACAAAGAGTGAAAAATTGACAGGGGACTGAATACTTTCTGTACCCAATGTACTACTACTAGTTCATCAGTTCTTTCTTCTCAAACCCAGAGAAGTCACAGCAGATGGCTGCTCATACTGATCCAGGTTCTGTTGGAGGTATCTTCCTGTTGAAGGGTAGTTTTCCTCTCCACTGTCGCTACATGCTTGCTAAGTATCAGGATTGCTGTAAAGTCTCTGACACAACAAGTCAGAGACTCGATGCAATCTGCTGGGCTTTCTTGCACAGAAATCTTTTAACGAATCGGTATAATGAACAGAGCTCAGTGCACTGATAAGTAGGTTCAATTGGAATGTTTACCGTATTTTCCAGAGTATAAGTCGCACCAGCCATAAAATGTATAATGAAGAGGAAAAAATATATATATAAGTTGCACTGGACTATAAGTCGCATTTTGGGGGGAAATTTTATTATTTTTCTGACAAAATCTGAGACCAAGCGTTTCACATTGCAAGACAAGTACCGGTAACACTAACAGAATAAACAACGCAGGCGCAGCAGCGCGCCACGGTCTCCATCAGAGGATGGCAGTGTTTCAAACCCTCCCAGTGGGCAGGGAGAGCGCCCGTAGCACCCCGCCACAGGTTGCAGCAGGTGATGGCGGTGTTTGAAACCCTCCCAGCGGGACAGGGGAGCTCATTCCTGAGTCGGAGCCGGCCCGCAGCAGCTCGCCACAGGCTCCAGCAGGTGATGTCGGGGCAGAGGAGCTGAAACCTGGACCGGAGCTGGCCCGCAGCAGCGCGGTATACATAATTTGGTATATAAGTCACTTTGGTATATAAGTCGCAGGACCAGCCAGACTATGAAAAAAGTGCGACTTATAGTCCGGAAAATTCGGTACTTTGTAAAGTGCCTTGAAAATAATTTTGTAGTGAATTGGCGCTATATAAATAAACTGAATTGAACTGTAACATTAATCTATTTAACTAAGCTATCTTTGCTTTATCACTACATTTTACATTTTGAGTACAGTTATAGTAAAGACTTCTGCAGCTTTTATGGTGCAAGCTTGTAGCCTGATTAGCCAGCCCCATGCTTCCTTATGGGAAGCCATCTTTCTCTGTGTAGAATTAGAGGACAAGTCTGGCACACCAGGCTAGCAGGCTTGTAGTTTTAAGAAAGACTACAAGAAATCTGAAATCTATTGTTATCTCAAGAAAGACCAAAAGTTCTGTGAGATGGTTAAGTGATTGAAAAAATAATCCAATTACATTACTTAAAATTCATTTCTGCTGATTTTTTCAAGGTCCCATAAGAGAAAACTCTCTTTACAGGCCCTCAGCAGAAACAAACAACCCAAAACATTAAACCAGAACATTAACAAATCCACTAGGACTGACTTCAGAATGAAAATGACCAAAACTGTGTTTAAACGGGTCAAAGCAGAGCCCTCATTTCTCATGGAAACTATTTCTTTTAGCTCTGGATCTGAAAAAATCAAAAAATACCAGAATGAGTAGTTGTTGTTTTTTTTTATAATGAAGTGGAAAATAAGAAACTGGTTTTTGGGGGATGGAATTGGAATGTGAGATCAGATATAACCACAATAATAGAATCTTTCTAGATGCATAATTAAGCTCTAGTAGAAACGTAGGAACGTGCTCACCTGTTGTGGTACACTACCGCAGTGTAGGCCTCTTTATAGAAATCCGCACAACTCGACTTCCCAAATATGACCTGAAGAATTAAAAAGCAGCAACAATACAACTATGCTAACATAGCAGAATAATGCTAGCATCTAACAATATTACAACTCAACTATTGTCCTGAATCATCAACAGAAAATCCAAATCATTGAATAAAAATTATATACAAATACATATATATATATATATATATACACATATATACATATATATACATACATATATACACATACATATACATATATATATATACACACATATATACATATATATACATACATATACATATATATATATATATATATATATATACATATATATATACATATACATACATACATACAAACATATATATACATACATACATATATATATATATACACATATACATATACACACACACATATACATATATATATATATATATATATATATATATATATATATATATATATATATATATATATATGTATATACACACACACACATATATATATATATATATATATATATATGAATTTTTTTTTTTTACAGAAAGGTTGACTTGACTAGCTTGCATACCTGCATTGCATTGTTTGGATCCTCCCCATTCATAAATTGCACTTTGACAGTGATGTTGCGTGCAGAACCTTGGCGGTTGGCAAAGTTAAGACTTTGAGGATTCACATACAGCAGATTCCTGAAAGCCAAAAGAAGAACTCTTAATTTGAGACTATCACACTTGACCAGAGTCCTGAAAAGACATAAGACCTGTAAAATGCACATAAATAAATCAATAAACGTACGAGTGCTCGACCCAGTTACCTGAAAAAGTTACACAATAATTTATAAAGTTATCGATTAAAGAGGAAAAGGGCATAATGTTCGGTAACCCAACTCTGATTGGTAAATTTAAGAGGCTTGGTCCACTAATGTTAATCCCCATGAAAGGATGAGAGGTATTATTTATTTGTGATATGAAATACACAGAAAGTATTATTAAAACTCAGATTATCCAAATTGATCACCGAGATAATTCTATGCAAAGGCTATACTGGTCAGGTGCATGTACATCATGTGGAAGCACACATCTCGTTTTACCAAAACCCATTGATGCGAGGTGCATTTTGAGCTTTATTTGCCAAAGATTGTCAGGGAAACCAGTGCTACTTCAGTGACATGCAAGCTGGTTTTAACACAACTGGGGAGGAAGAAGAGGCCCCGCCATAGGAAGTGCAAATAAACTTGAGATCAGCTGACAAAAACCGCAGTGACGTTGATTATGTGGGGGACAGACCCGCAGAGACCACAGCTGGAACCACAACTGAGAAGAAAGTGTGGGAATCTTTAGAATTTTACTTATTTTCCTCTTCTGCTAAAATTAATCTAGCATGACCCTAAAACTGTCACGGCAGCTTTGAAGTAGGTTATTGAACTTGGACTGGTTTAGCCTCCTAGAGACCTAAAATATCAATGTGTGCAAATAGAAGTCACAGTGATTGGTCAATTTATCTCTTCAGATTCCACCTGGGTTAATCAGTCATCAGAGTCAAGCAGAGCAAAGTAAACGCTGCAAACTCCACAACTTTCAATTGTCCTTGTAGAGAGCAGCAAAAATAGAAAGAAATGTGCGGGTTTGACACCGTTAAAACTGACAACACTGAGAGAAGAGGTTACCCTTCTCACCACTATGTGATGGAACAAAACAAGGTTGACAGAGAAGAGGGGGATAAATTATTATAGGGCTTTTTTTTATTGTGTTAGATAAAAACAGCTGGAAAATAAAGCAGTTATTAAATATCAAATGCAATATTTGTCTGTCTTCTAAAGTAAATAATAATAATTCGTAAAGTTTTCTTTTTCGTACTTTCTTTACTTATAATCATGAGAATAAATCTGCACAAACCACATCAGTTAGGTCTCAGGCTTTGACCTTATAAAATGGATGGGCTCAGGATTTGGGCAAATTCTGGCCTTTAAATATACATTTACCATTATTGGGAACCAAGCGAATTACACTACCTCCACACATTACAAAAACCTCATTATAATGATTGAGTACTAGAAAATTATTGCCACAAAACTAATATTTAAAATCAAAGCTCAATGTGGATTTATGGCCTGATATATATATTTTCCCCCAAAGTAAATGTTTTCATGATGATTCACACAATAACTTTATTTTTGAAATACTCGGTGTGTGAAATACTCGAGTGCAGCAACAAACCCATCTGTTCACTTAATCTATTTTACTGATTACTGGTTTACCGGTACTGTGTTGCATCTGTTAATCCTCCCACCCTCTCTCTGCAGATCAGTAAGCCTTTTAAACAAGTTGCTCCGATGGCTTCTTAACAGTTTTTGCTGCTTTGAGCTCCGAGACCAAGGAAGTATCTAAGGGATGAACTTTGTCCAGCAGCACAAAACTGCACAGTAGAATATTTTGAGTGTGAATAACGTTCAGGCATTAATGATTTAAAAACTTTATTTAAATCATTTGGTTTTACACAAACCCTGATGCAAAACAAAAAATGTACAAAGAATTTCCGTAAAATGCCTTTGACTCTGACTAGATTGTTGTTTTGTTCTTTTTGCCAACTGCAGAAATCTACGCATTAAACTGCAAATAAATGAGCAAATGCAATTATGTTTACTTTATGTCAGGTACCATTAAAAATCATTTCAGGCATAAATCACGCTTTAAGTGACAAGACCAAGCAATCAAACTATAAAGATGAGAACACAGAATCTAAACTCTCCAACATCATTCATGCCCAGGAGCTCAACCCTGCCAAAGACGTCGAGCCCTATCCCCTTCCCACCAAACGAGACGAGGACCGGGCTGATTCAGCAGGATTCTAAATCAGACCTGGGAACATTAATTACACACAGCATTATCAATCAGAGCAAAGTGTGAGCAGGATTAGAAGGTTTGAGATTGATTAGACTGACGATCCATCAAAAACAGCGATGGCCATTGTTGGCTTTCTGCTGATCAGCTAAAGTGCTGAACCACAGATGGGGAGTTGGGCAGGGTGTGGTGCACAGGGGGGAACTGGGGTTAAATGGTTAGCAGAGAGGGAGGGTGCACGTCATTTGCACACTACTGGGATTTGTTTGTTTGGAAGAGGGAGGACTGGATGGGGATTTAGGAGGAGGTGGGACACAAAGCTAAAAACATAGTAGGGTTTAACAATCAGCAACCCCTCCCCCCCCAGCCTTTACTGTGAGGGCGGTATTTAACACAGCACAGCCCGCTGCTCTCCAATCAGTTTAACAGCAGAGGAGACAAGCTCATTACGACAGGGAGACAGTTGTTGAGAAGAGGCAGAACAGAAAACCGTCCTCAGTCGTACATTGATGAAGACAATCATAATGAAGTTGTTTTGCCTGTTGCTGGTGCTAGCCGGAGCAACGTGCGCATTCCATCTGGACATCTCAGATAGACAAGTGAACCCCACATCGGTCTCTGAGGTTCTCACAACGGACGCGAGCTCAATTGAAGCAAAATCTCGATTTGCCATGCTGGACGACGTTCGCCTACTTGCAAATGGCCTCCTCCAACTTGGCCAGAGTTTACGGGAGTTTGTCCACAAGACCAAAGCGCAAATCAACGACATCTTCCAGAAGCTGAACATTTTTGACCGCTCTTTCTACCAGCTCTCAGTGGTCACATCAGAAATCAAAGAAGAAGAGGAGGAGCTCAAGAAGACCACCAATATCTTGAAAGCCAACAATGAGGAGATTAGGAACTTGTCTTTGGAAATCAACTCGAAGATCAACAACATCCTGCAGGAGCGCACACAACTGCAGAACAAAGTGGGAAGCCTTGAGGAGAGGCTGAAAGGATTGTCTGAGACCGTGATCCCTGCTGACCAGCTCAGCGAAATCACAACACTCAAGGTTAGAAGGCTGTGATGATAAAAATCTTTAGTTATAAATGCTAGAAAAGTTAGCCTTTATAATCATAGCTGAACTGCATGCAATTGGTTGAACGCAAAGTTACTTTAAATCTTCACAAATGATGTTGTACTCAAGAGCTGTTAACATGAGCTGTATCAACTTTATACTCCTCAGCAGTAGCAAGTTTGTGTTACTGATTAACACTTCCACAAATCTTAGAAGGAAAGCACAGAAGAAATTTCTATTTCATTCATATTATTGTAAACATGTGTTAAATTACTGTTTTAATACTTTGTAGGAAGTAATTGGGGCTCAGGAGAAAACAATCAGCAATCTACTGAAAGCTGTGAATGAGCAGCACGATCAACTGGACCACCAGAAAATCAAGATTAAAATTCTGGAGGATAAGGTAGTAGTGGAGGATGCAAACATCATCTTTTAAAAAGTCAAATACATCTGAGAATGTTTAAATAACTGCTTTCTACAAGGATAAAAAACGTGAAATAATAAATGAATTAAAAACATATGCGTTCTGTCTGCAGGTAAACTATGACGCCTTCCAAGATACCGCTGATAAGACAATGGATTCAGACCATTCAGCTTCTGATATGTTTGATTATCTGCCAAGAAACTCAACCGGGTTGACAAATGGTAATTATTTTAAATGATTAATCAGTTTTGTTAGTTTAAAATATAATATAATGCAGCTTAAAATGACATTTTGATACATTATTTATATTATTTCTATATATTTGTGTGTTTCAGACCTTCCTGTGGACTGCAGCGAGTTATATATAAATGGAGAGGTTAACAGTGGAATCTATGCTATCAAACCAAATCATTCTGAACCGTTCTATGCTTTCTGTGAGATGAGTTCAGGTAACTGCAGTAATCTCGTCAAAACAACCTTTTCTGTAATTGATGAGGTGTAATGCTATGAACTTTCCACATATTTTCTCAATTGACAAGAATGTGGAAAAAAATCTGCAAAACAAGCTAGCTTTTAAACACAGTCACCGAACTCCCACCTCTCGTCGATTTTCATCCCTAGGCCATGGCCTGATATGGGAACGCGCATTAGCAGAGCGGACAAGAGAGCGCTGAACACCCATCACAGTTTTCTGGGTCCAACTGTCTTTTCTTGTCTGTAACTTCAAATGGTGTTTTTCTTTCAGGGGCTTTGGTAGTTTGCCCTAAAGTTGAAATGGTAGCAGCCGGCTGTTTCTCCTCCTCTGATATTATTGAGTGGAGAACCTCTCACACCAATGGTGCTCCGTTGCTAAATACACAAGCGCGTAATGTGTGGAGGACCTAGGTAAATGCTGAAATGCCCTTTTCAGGTAAAACAGACAATCGGATGGTCCAAGCGTTGGTTCTGCATCGAGTCATGTCATTGGCTGAGGTTTTTAGACAAATGCAATAGAACCACTTAATCATTAAATGTTTTTATGTTTATGAAAGAACATTGTCAAGAGGCATGAAAACAGGTTTGAAGCTAGCTTGTTTTGCAGATTTGGCATTGCAGCTTTAAGAGCTTTTCCTGAAGTGTAAACAACACATAATTTACACACACACACACACACACACTTGACTATTCCGTATTTTTTTGCAGGCACCGGCTCAACTGTCATTCAGCGAAGAACAGATGGTTCCGTGGATTTTGACAAAACATGGGAAATGTATGAAAAGGGTTTTGGTGTTATGGAAAGTAAGTATGTAGTTAAGAGATGATATTTGATTGTATTATCTTATTTTTTATTCTTAATAAATATTTGTATAGACAATTTTCACATTCATACTTTCTACTTTGACATATGCAGAACCTAAGTGCTGTTGCTTTGGTATAATCCTTACATCGGAGAGGTTGAACCCAACCTAAAACATAAGTCATCTGGAATTAACTCAAAATATACAATACATTTTTAGGCATTCTATCTGTTTGTGTCATTTGGCACAATGACATTTATCTTGCATTACCTAGAAAAGAGTTTTCTGGAAAACTAGGTTTTGATGAAAAATAGTAATCGTAAGATATTAAGGCTGAGGCGGCAGAAAGACTTCCAGTTTCATCTGAACAAATTGGCACCTGCAGTTCTAAGGATTTCAAAGCAATGTCCCTATTTAATATATGAGGAGTTCAAACATATTGATTTTCTGTCACATAGAGGACTTCTGGCTGGGCCTACAAAAAATCCAAAGTTTTACACAGCACCAAGCTTACATCCTGCGTATTGATGTGGAGGACTGGAAGGAGGAAAAGCACTGGGCAGAGTACAACTTTTCAGTTGAAGGTCCCTCCGAGGACTACGCCCTTCATGTCAGCCACTTTTCCGGTGATCTGCCTGATGCCATGAGCAACATCACCGGTGCAAAGTTCTCCACGAAGGACAAGAATAACGACAACTGCAACTTAGACTGTGCTCGTAGTTGCTCAGGTACATATTTTGTTATTTTGAAAAAAGTGAGTAAGAAGAATTTCCACTAACTTGTTCAAGCTAGTAATGACATAACTGCTGCTTCTTGTGTTGGTAGGTGGATGGTGGCTCAGTGCCTGCAGTGAAACCAGCTTCAATGGCAAATATTTCTGGCTGAGGGCAAAGGGACGCTCTTTGAGGAGGAAGGGTATTCAATGGAAGCCTGGAACAGGGTCCTCGTATTCCTTCAAGATGACCAAAATCAGCTTACGAAGAGTCCCCGATAGTGGCATTTAACCTCTGTAGCTCCCCACGGTCTCACCCGGTCTTGCTGGTTTTTTTTCCTTTTAAACTGACATCTAAAACTAGATGAAAGGCTCCATAAAAAAGGCAGTGACGTAGTATTGGCATTAGACATGTCTTCAACTGCAGCTAGAGGGTGATTGCCTTCTAAACTTTTGCCTGACAGCAGGCCGAATATGTCGTAAGTTGGATTTACTAAGGTGTTGCAATGATGCAAGCATGACACACATATGGGTCGTTAACCTACTGGGTCTGATCTAGCAAAGACAGCATAACCTTCATTATGCAACATCCACAGTCGTTAGCAAAACGACCACATCGACCCACATCGCAGCCTGATTAGGGGATGGCTGTAGAATGCTACAGCAGAATATATTTATATAGGGATTACAATCTGAAAACTAAGATTATGTCATCGCATTTAACTACAAGAAAATGCATTTATAAGCTTCTTTGTCCAATAAGCTATTTAAAATGTATTTTATCCATGAAAGGTGAAACTTTACTGCATGTCCCTTTAGGCTACAAAAAGCATTTAACAACTATTACATAATGCATGGAAATTATATAAATGAAGCTTTAGAAGAAGAATCATTATTTTCAAAACCACCAAATGTGTCTGAGCGTGTTTACGTTACTTCTTTTCTTATTTAAAACCATCTTATCCATTCAAACCCACTTGCATTAGTACAAAAAACCTAAAAAAGTACAGCACAAACAAAAAATAAAGAATCCTCCACTGTATATGTCGCTGATCCTCCCATTTGTCTCCAAAATACCGGTAACACAAACTTTGGCAGTGCACTGAAAACTCTTTCCTCTTGCATGTATTTAAATATTTAAACCATGTTCACGATGTAACGGTTCATGCCGGTAGTGTTAGATGGCATCACATTGTTATGCATCTTAAGTTGCTGAGTCATATTGACTCCTATCGATACAACACTGTTTTGTACGTGTGCCTAAGA